GTCTTAAGTGTCTTATTGTAATGCATATACTAACCTGTTTAGGGTGCCTTTATAGGAGAGAGGCGGTTAGTCAACTCAAACAAAAATCTGTACTCGGGAAATGTGAAGTCCTTTCTGCGCGATCACCCCAAATCGTTGTCTTATCTAGACCCATACCTCCTTCCCTCCTGCAAAAGATATCTAGTAAATTAATTCTTACCAATCCTCTTAGGAAGTCCGAGAATCGGGTGCCTGAATGTGTGCTAGTAGGCCCTACACTTTTGATAAAAGACAAGCAAATGTGAAACCACTAAACTTGTGCCTGTTTGATAAGCTGTACCGTTACGTATGCGGTACGGATTGGGCAACATCCAAGTAAGCAAGCTGGTGCATCGAAAATCGCATCATCTACTAACGGCCCATCTTACTTCCAATGGACAACCCTTTTGTCGATATTGCTAAAGCACAGAACGAAGGCTAAAAAGCAATGTATTGGTGGCAAATAATAGTGTTTGACTATCGCCTTAAAAATACAAATATTTGAACTTTAAACATTATCCTGTGACTTGGAGCGTCGCTTGATGTTGCGTTTGCTTACTGAAGCACTGAAATTCCCGCTAATTTGACTGCAATGCCCTGCATAGACTACGAGCCATGGCAGTCATGGCCTGGCTGGTTGACATTCGTTTTCCTTGTTATACGCTGATGGTCCACAAATCATATATTCAGAACGATATAAATTGATGACTTCCTAGTAAGTGCTGAATCTAGCACCAAATAATTAATTGGATAAGTTCTCACCTGTTGGAAGACTTTTGTGCTGAATGGAGATGGTTTTCCATTTTCATCCTTCACACTTCCTTGGCACTCCCCGATGCGAATGCCGATTTTATTGGGTTTTGAAAATTCACGTGTTAAGTAAAATAGACAAATGGGGATTAAAGAAGTTAGATGCAGTTAGGGTAACTAAGACAGATATATGCGCCTTTGGCGGGAAAACGTGTTTGCACTTGTTTAATTGTCTTGTACTCCCGATGGGCATTGAGATTTTATGCGAAACGATGTATTTGCAAAGGTGAAAACATAATGGACAAGAATTTGCTTCGGCACTTCACTCACCCGCTTGAAATAACCTTAGGGCAGCTTATTTATTGCTTAAACTCATTTGTCATGAAAGAAGCTGAGTGTAAATTGGGTGAATACGCATCCACAAATAGCCACAGAAGTCAAATCTTGACCCTAGCAACCTTATGATGACTAGATAGCCCCCTTTTCCACTTTTATAATCTACTAAAGCTGAGTTGCTGGGTTCTTTCTTATGAGGGCTAAAGTGGTGGTATAAGTAAATCGCACAACCGCGCATAGACAAAATACTATACACATGAGCGAAGCAGGAGTGATTAGGAAGAATTCCAACAACAGTTTCGACCATAGACGAATGTGTGCCTTCCTTCTTGTACCCATAAGGTATTTAATTACCGCATGACCTTTCATTCATCTACTTCGCAATGAAAGAGGCATCTGAACATAGATAAACCTCCCAGTTGATGGACCATCCATTGCGTTGTGTTCTTGCACACGGCCCACTCTCCTCAATGCTTTCTATAGCACTAGATAAATGCGGTTGGATGAGCTAGCACCAACTTGCCCCTACACCAGTCGATTGGAAGATCTGTTGTGTTTAATTCGCTCAACACTAAAACACATTGATTGCTCTCCATCTTTTCTGGTGTGATGAGGTGCTCTGAACAATAACTTCAGTTGCTTGTCAGCTTCAAAGGCCTTCCAATGTAAAGTACTCATTAAAATTTCCATCAGCACGCTACATATTTCATGGTCCTTTTTCTTGCAATATTAAAACACCCCAATACAATAATAGTCACTTCAGACGATTTCACTCCGTCCCTGATTTAAAAGTAGAACTGAAAATATGTTTTGAGTTTCAACCTTCGGCAGTACAGTTCCAATTGTTGTTACTTAATCACCGGCGCTCAATCAAGAACTTAAAATAAGCATAGTTTGAAACAGAATTACAGGCAAAACTCTCTGTCCCAAAAGTAAACAACGTACTATTAAGGGTGCTCAGGTTGCAAACATGGCATCATAATTCATGTTCGTATTGCTCTTTGGAGATTCCGTAGAGGCTGATGGTACAGAGGCCATGAGCCACTTTAAATAACAGTGATGAAGGCAGTCTACACATTGTCTTCAGCGTAAATTAACGATAGCCGTTGCTCAATAAGGGGATACACAAAAAATAATTGCCCATTAAACCTTTTACATCAAATAGTGGCCTCAAATATAATTAACCGTTGCTTCCCTCTTTTTGAATTCCCTATTATTGGACAAATATTCAAGCCCCATATTCAAAAAGGAAAGAGCTCCAGTTGTGGAATGATTGGCATTTTCCATTAATTAAATAAATTCGACATAAAAATATTATCATTGCCATACTAACCCCTGCTGTTAGTGTATCTGTGCGAGAAGGTGAGTGCGCACATGGGTGCTTTTATATGGTGCGAGACCTGTATATGTACGTGCGTATTCATATGCTCCCTGTGGAAGAAAGTGTTTCCACGTGGGGTTCCACTGCGTGTCACTCCTTTCGATGCATCACAGCACGATCAAACTTGTCGAACGGCAGCAAGAAAAGAGGCAGGGGGCTCGCTTACAGCTCGTTGGACGGGTTCAACATCAAGGCAACCATGAGCATGGCTGGGCGGTTTGTGGGATTGTGTGGACTCGAATGAGACGGCAGACTGGGCCACAGCCTCCAGCCTATCGATGATGGGGAGTTGAGCAGCCGAGTTGTGAATGACGAGGTCGCTGTCGTCGCAGCGGAGGGTGGTAGCTGTGGAAGCCTGTTGATTAAGGAGTCGAGAAGCCTGTCGGTAGCGCAAGTATGGATTAGTTGTGTTTTGATTCGTGCAGCATTCCTCCGAGTCCATGTGTTCTTCACTCTTTTGATTAGAGCAACTCGAACTGTGCGTCTGCATCTGAATGTATTTCAGGATGATCGGCAGTGTGGTGAATTGCTCCTAAAAGTACGCGCATAAAGGCGGCTGCTTAAATTATGCAAAGGAACTACCAGCCCACCTCCTACTTCATTGGCCATAATATAACTTGATAATATCCAGTTTGGAAACATTCCAGGTGTATCTGTCGAAAGGAGCATACAAGATCCTTAATAAGCTACGCCCATTTTGGTCATGGGGTAGAGATAAATGCGTACGACACTCAAAGATACACCACAAATACCGATGTGTGGAGCATTAAAGAACATGTAATTAGCCCATTCGCATAAAGGAACATCACCATGCAAACGATTTTACAGTGACATCTTCAAATAAATCACAATTCATCGCGCACAATTCAAATAAAACTCGGAAAAAAATACTCGTACTGTAAGTGATGCAAAGAAATTGGCTGTGGCTTCACATGGATATGAGGAAATTCAATCAGTAGTAAGATCAAGAGTTCTTCAGGCACAACCATTTGGCCCACTGTAGCTGGCACGGAGTAAACCAATTATCTTTGTATTACTCTGTAAAGCGTAAACAAAGTCTATACTGCTTAACACTCAGTGCAGAAGGTTAGAATGACCTGAATTATTCCGTTAATCAGACTTTGGAGGCCATTCGCCTCATGGGTATGTTTCCTTCACTTCCACGATACTTTAGGTGACGAAGTTGATTTTCGGTTTTTGTGGCAAATCAACACATCTCCGTTTCGAGTATGTTTGTGTTTCTTGGGCAGATGGACTGAGGTAAGAATACCGATTCACACGAGATTAAGGCCGAGCCATTGAAGCCAACAAAAATGATGAACAAAGAGGGTATGTTTTCGAGTTTAATTTGTTACAAAGCATATGCCATTAGGCGAAATGGATTCCAGCCATTTGGAGACTAATAACAGTTTAATGGCTTGTATCGAGTGCGTTGTAAACAAAACTTTGATGCTTGCCATTAATGACCAGAATAATAGGCCAACATGAAGTTTTATGGCGGATAACAAAAGCACTTACCTGAATGCGCACCAAAGATTCCTCGATCGCGTCTAATCGGAGTTGCAGGCGTGTGTGCTGAATTCTCATCTCTGAGACGGTATCGTTCATGATAGATTGGGTCTACAGCCATGAAAAAGGAGGGGGTTGCAAGCAATCACGTTGCTATTTAAAACGCTTGTAAAACATTTGAAGTGAAGTTCCCTTATGCAGCCGATGGGAGACAGAAAACCGCGATGCTGAAGACGACATTCAGGGGACCAGTGAAACCGGCACAAAACTACAAGCACTCCTTTTTCATGTTAAATGATGGAGTTTAGCGGTGATTGGCATAAGTGTTTCACTCGAAGCTAATAACAAAAAAATAAAAGCGGATAAGATTGGACGATGCTTAGTGATGCAACAACCAGAAAGGAGATTTGCTTCATCATGAGCGAAAGAAAATTGAATTGTCAGAAGGAAAATGTTGTAGAAAAAATTATGTGCGAGTTAATACAGGAGTGCAAAAAAATGCGTCGCTGAAACTTCGTTGATTGGTTTCAGCTCAAAAATGGCGCCCCTTTTGTGTACTAAAACACTACTCCCTGCTCAAGCCAACAATCAAAAGATGGAACATGTAGAAAGCATGCTTAGAGAAAGACTGAAAACAGATGAAAGGGCAAATTAATTTACGAGGAATTAGCAGCACAAACGTTTCCTTTCTCACTATCTGCTAGGTTCATCAAAGGGCCAATGTTGAAGGTATTATCCCGTCAACAATGACTCAATTCTTATCTTGTTGCCTAGATGTGTTCAAAGACGTGCAACCGAGGAGGTTCACTCCTTTGTGAGCTCGAGGCGTGTTTAAAAGTTAACCAAAATGTGAAGGTGGTTCTTGTACCACTCACCCAACTGCTAATCTAAAACAGTAGATGAGACACAATTCAATCAGTAAACTATACTTTAATCATGTTTTTTCCTCCGTAGAAGTGACGGTTTTGAGTTCTGCTTCCCATTCTCCTAGCAAAAAATACAATGGGATGAAAAAGTGCGTTGATAGAGAGTATGGACTGTACTTGACACAGCAGTCCAAATTGGGGATCAGAAATTGCAGGAGAATTGCTGGATGAAAGGACACTCGAGTAAATTTGGAAAAGGCGAAGCGACATTATTAATTCTACGTCTCTCCTCTGCTTGATTTGGCGTACCCGAAAATAACCATTTAAGACTGTTCTCACTACCTCCAAGACAAATCTGCGAATTCCGCTTCACTCAGAGGAATTGCACGCATTCGATTGCTGGTAAGGACCGAGGGAGCACAATAAAGTGTTTGCATAGTTGCCACAATTTGGTACTGTTGAAAAGCTATCAATTTGTCACGTCCATTGGGTTGTACATCTTAAAAAAAGCAAACTTATTTCTCTATTCGAAAAATATGCAAATCAATGTTTCTGTTTATCTTAAAAAATAATAATAAATCGTTTGCAAAGGGTAGCAGAGTGAGGAGAAGTAGCAACCTAATTGGTATTGCGAAGCTTGGCACGTTAAGAAGGTGGGAAAAGTCAGGGGTAACCACGACTAAGGTGCGCTAATAGGGCTTCTCTAACGTCCTTCAAAGGTGTCGCCTTAAACATCGACAAAAATGCATGATTACTTTCAATGCAATAGTTTAAGTGTTAAGAAGCTCAATGTATGATGAGTGATGATATGTTGATGCCAACCTCAGTGCAATCGCGGGAAGGTAATCAAGCAGTGCATAAATTGCGGTAATTAGTAACATGTGACGTGGTAAGAAGTTAAGACGTCTGAGATGTTTGGGATTTGATGGGGATCAAAATGGTCCCATGATTATGGCTGAATGTGTCTGTTGGATAAGAAGGGACGGAGTCTCTTTCAATTTGCATCCATACTTTGGCCATCAAGCATACGATAGGTTAGGAGGGGTTCAAGCCCCTCCCTTTGCCGGAAGGAACTGTATGGGAACTGGTGTAAGTTCAAACTTCTGAGAGAGGTTTCCTATAGTGTGCAATGATTAATGAATCACTTTCCGTAAAAACATCACCACAGAGGAGGATGGAGGCAGTTATGTCGTACTGATGGTTGGCATTGGCACCTGTGCCCAAGCAGTAAAACGGTGTTACTTACCTTGGCCAAATCAATCAAAGTGTTTGCATTATCCTGCAGTTTCCTCTGTTCCAGCTTCACGTGTCTAAGACTAGAAGAGATGAAATGCGTAACTCTCGGTTGTTTATAACTTTACATCCTTGTTGATTTAAAAACAGGATGTTTAAATAAATAACTGAGCGCTAGATTTGTATAGGTGGAAAAATCTATGTATCTTTTTATTGTTACAATGGCGAAGAGATCAACAGGACTGGTGGATTTTGCACGCATTGTAGGTATTTTGTATTGCACCTTGTCATTCATGTGAATGTCAAGTAGGAGCAATTCGGAAATAAAGACATTCCATTAGTCCTTCTCGCGCATTGCAGATGATGTGCCATTTAAGTCGATTTCATAATTTGCTAGACAAAGTGAGGTTCACCAAACAGGCTTAATGCTAGAGTTCCGGTGCCACAAAATGCAAAACTATTTGCTTTTTGTGCTTGCTGAATTCCCCGGGGTGCTATTTATTGGAACACAATGCAATAACAAAATCTTTTTCTCCCTCTCTCTCCCTCTCAAGAAGTATCAACATCTCAAACTTCTCTTCTTTAGTCTAGTTAAAAGCATGGAGGTCCAAAGTATTCACTGAATCCACGGGAACCAGCAATTATACTTCTACCCACAACCTTATCAGCAGGTGGTCGTTCCACCACATCCAAGATTGTTTGATAGCATACTTTCAACACCACAGTATTCAGTTACGGCGTCAAAAAATCCCAACAAGTATGGCTTATTAACTTCAATAATTTTCATGCGAAACGCAAACGTAGATAATTATTCGGTGTTAAATAAAATACCGGCAGTTTAAAGGTCTTTCGTCCATTTGACAAGGATTTTGCCTGATAACACACCGTAGAAGGACTTGTTGATGAACAAAAGGAAATGCAAAAGTTATTTGCATTTAATGGTTTTCCGTTTTGCCAAAACCAGGCTTTGCTTTGAGGACCCACAAGTGGACACAAGTCGCAGTTCAGTGCACGTACCCGTGTATTGCACGGAGAAATTTCCGTTGGTGTTTCCTGATCGTGGAGGCGTTGAGCTTTTTCACTAACTTGGTATACTTGTAGATTAACCAAGTCTCTCGAAGGACATTTGCGGCATAGTGTTTCAACTGAAACGTCCAGAGGTAAGACTGAGCAAACTCCACGCATCGATGCCTTTCTCCAGAAGCCAGCACACTTTCAATAGCATTTTACATCACCAACAGGGAATAATATTTGGCTATGGAGAAGTTTATCAGCATTTGCCATATAAAGACATTAATTGTAATAAACTTCTCGCAATTTCACTCTAAGTACGCATTCAGAATGAACGCCTTATATGAGAGCCTCAAATGAACAATAAGTTGCGGCGCAAGTCAAAAGGCGGTGAATTCGATCAGTTCCGACTGTCTCTGAAATCATCTTTGATACAATAAGTAGGATTAGCTAATGATGATAAAAAGCATAAAAAATTTGGCCAACTTTACGAAAAAGTATAGGAACCTGCTTTTAGGCAACAATGAACGCAAAAATCCGCCAATCCTCCTTTATAAGTGATAGTTGATGAAGGGGCAAATGCCTCACCTTCTTTGCAAGTGCATTTTCCATCATAAATTGAATGACGTGCTTTTCGGCCCTGGAGAGTTCCAACCGCTTAGCAAAAACGGCCACAACGAGTGCGGTACAGAGAGATCCCTGAAAAAAAGATATTAAGAAAACGAATTTTTTGCCATGAAGAGGAAGTAGTAAAACAATGTTTTTCTTGATGGGAGGGGAGTTCTCGCCTAAAAATGCGCACCAAGACTTTCCAGAGCAACAACAACAATAACCTTGTGCATCCACTTTGATGCACATGACACCCAAACACTAATTTAGGTACTCTAACTGCATGAGACACTCTAAGCCGTAGGATCTATGCAAGAGTCAAACAGACAGTGCAGACAACCCGATCACCGTGTCAACGTCTTCGTTCTTCGTTTAGAGTACATCAAGGAGTCACGGTGCGGGCGCTCACCAAAACTCCTGCAACGATGGAAATCGCACGACCACAGTAGGTATTCGCAACAACATCTCCGTAGCCTATGCTGAGGAAAGTCACGGCGACAAGCCACATGGAGTTGAAGAGATTGCCGAAAACTGGGTCTTGCACGCTGAGAAGGGAATGGGACAATAGGCAGTGAGTGCGAAAGCACCTGACATGTTTACTGATTTAATTACAAAGATTAACGTTGGTCTCCTCACTGGATATCCTTGTAATAATTTGACACTGAAAGACTGCATTGGTATATTAAGAGAGCCACTACTTTCATTAAACGCATAAAAGTAGATGTTTAAAGTGGGTAAAAAGGCAAGCCAGATCAAAAAGGCGATGTGGGTGAGCATTGGTTGAGTGCTTGATAAGCAGATTCACTTGCACTAATTTTTATGGTCGCCTAACTAATGAAACCGACTGCTTTATAAATGCTTCTACGAAAAACTCGAAGTCCATGCTAAAAGGAAAAATTGCAAGAAAGTTATTGCAGGCAATAGGAACTGGGAGAGAAATATAAGTGGCATTATTCATGACAAATAAGTATTCTTCTTCGGTGAGGCGTACATTTTTCCTATGCAGATTTGAGTCCCTTGGGAGAGCTCTAAAAAGCCCTCATCATGCGTCAGCAGAGGATGCGAGGATTCGAAACGAACAAACAAGCGCTTAGCCATGGGGTCAACCAAACCACTGTTAGAAGCACAGTTAGCAATTTTCATGTCACACGCTAATACCTTCAACTTGGCATGGCAACTTCCGCATCCTCCTCCACAAGGTGATGGTTAATGGTGCATAAGAGGTGTGAAAGATGAATGCAGTCTCACTGACAGGTAACGCCAGCACTTCTAGAATAATGAGTGATGGATATGACCATTTAGACTACCTTTACGTCAAATAAGTGAGCCTTTGGTAAAATTATTGAACGTGGTGGTAAACTTGATAATTTTCTCACAACCGTTTCTTCCTCTCAACTCCATCACTTTGAGATAATTTCATCCATCCCCTTGTCCAACAACCTATATCGATGCCATTACTACAATTAAAATTGGAGTACAATTTTAGAATTGAACCTTGGGACGTAACAAACGTGAAAGGCTTCCCAAACGCAAGAGTAGTTGATAAAACTTCAACACAACTACCATGGCCGTTCCCTACAGACGTTACAGGGTTAATTTTTTGACGATTGTTTGGTGTCTTGGTCAAGAAAGTACAAGCGAGTTTGTGCGTCACGATATCAACACATCAACAGGCTGCACACCACGCGCACAGGACACCACGTGAAGTGATCTGAAAGGCAGCTAAAGTAATTTGCGAATGCTTGGAATTTGGCCTTTCATAAGAAATACCAAAAAAAGAAAAGGCGATGTTTGTTTGAATGTGCATATTAAAACATGCGAACTAACGTAGGCAATGCTTAAATGAGTGGACTGCTTCAAGTGGGTTTACTGCTGTGTCCGTACTGCACTATGGGAGGAAGAGGGTCTGAAATGGGTTTACTTTGTTATAATAAAATTAATCGGAACGACATCTTAAAACTGCCCATAAAAAAGTGCAAAGTGACTTCCATTTTCCCCTCACGTGGTAAAAATTTGGATGTCAAAGTGTGCAGAGATTAAAGCAGTATAGTTAGGCTGTGAAATTCCTTTTACTATGGTATCAACGTCAGATTAATCACAAAGCTATGCGAAAATGTTACAGGCGCTACCGGAGAGGTGGACAACTAGGAAGGCTTGACCGATACAAATCCTTAAGGAATCTAAGCCAGAAAGGGACTTCGAAGGAAACCAAAATAGACACACTGTGAAAGTGGGCATCTGAAATTCTATCTGCCGATAGTTGGAGGTGGCAAGAGTATGCGTAAAGTGGAATGGAGGGGCACGAGTGAGAACACGCACACACACGCAGTCGAAAGAGGAAACCCTACCGTTCACAAGCTCTAAGCATCCACGCGAGCACAGCCCAAAATCCAAGAATGAAGGCGACCAGCACTGTGCCCGGACAGATTGTCATGAATGTCTTGAAGACAAATTGGGTAGTGAAATCTACCTTGTTCATGGCCCCAATACTGCGGGAACCGGTGTCGGTAAAGAGTTTTGAATGTAGTACTACCACTCGAAAGATAAGATAGAGGCGGAGGAACATGGGCAGAGAGAGAATGATGTCGATGGAGACCACTTTGTTAGAGGGAAAGATGACGTGCGGGCTCCCCGAGATAGAGTTGACTCGAGGTACAGAGGCCGCGGAAGTGAGAAGACTTGGATCCAAAGTACCATTCTTGCAGTGCGCGCAGGATAGCAGGATGCTGCCACCGAAGAGGTAATAGGAGTAGGGCCAGATGAAAGTGAAATTGCCTGGCACTGGGTGAATTGCACACACCAAAATCTCCATTACCAACTTGGCCACCCTCGAACGGTCCCATGCTATTTGCCAGTCCTCTATACAGTCATCAAACGAGAGTATCTGCAAATTTCACCATAGTAAAACCTCAAGTTACTGTTACGCATCTTAATAAGTTCAAACATTTTTTATTCGACGACTACGCAGTTCTCTCTTGTTAAACTTCTCCAAGTGATTTCACATGCACCGCAATAAAATGTCGCAAATTGTAAAAGTATAAGAAAATCGGTGCAATTGGTTGCACCAAGTCGCCATCCCCATATTCGCACATGGACAATAATTTTTAACAATTTGCACGCCATCGTGATGCCACATTTGATCACCTTTAACTTAATAAATAAGTATGTAAGTGACGTCTAAGCCTAGCGAATCACAATGGGTTTTGTTTAACTTAAGTGGTATTAAGCAACAAGAATGCTGCTGTCCATGTTGCTGTTTATGTGGGTGAAGTAAAACCATAAAGGCATTGACAAACTTATTTGACCTTTTATTTTCACGATGTTGCCAAGGTCTACGTTGAGGATGGACTAAGATCATCTGTTCTGAAATGTCAGCCATATAATCAACACCTAAAAGCAGACTGAGGCAAACGTCTGGGCGAAAATAAGTGGTAGGTCAAGCCACTTCGAAAGGCCTTTCGAGCATAGATTCATGTAACATTTTCATTTTGCCTTACAAAACTGCCTTGTATTTAGTTCTTTCAAATCTGCAAATGGATCACGAAATAGCGAGCATCTCACAAACAGAAAGCGTGATTCACCATGAGCACTGACAATAGGCACTGGCTCAAAGTAAGGCAAAGCATCACTCACTTCCTCCCGCAAAATGAACTCGTTCGCCGCTTGACGCTCTGTTGGTCTGAGCCAATTGCGCAGGTCTAAATAGTTACTGCAATACTTATGAGGTAAATATTCGTCGTAATCCTGTCACAAAACCTACGCTTTTTGCGTACTTCGTTATCAAAAGTGGAAGCTTAGGAAACGTCCTCAGCTGCGCAGTGCCAATCAGCTTACAGCGTTGGATGGATTATTATGAAGTGACAGCAAATGCGCAATCTGCGCCACTGAAACAGTCAAACCGTAGGGGAAAAAGAATGACCGGCAACAACAGAGCAACAATCTGAATCCATGATTAATAAAAATCTGTAAAACTGCGTCTCAATGAAAGCACTGCCTTCGGCACAAAAGTGCAGCACCTTTCATAATTTGCCATGAAACCAGATCGTGTTCTTGCCTTGTGAGTTGCTATTGCGTCGGCTAATCAATGTTAAAAAGCTGTATTCGTGGACAATGCGTTACTAAACTTCTCTTATAGTTCGCTTTGACAAGAATGCGGCTTGTGAATGGGAGCACGGGCAGCGCTCACGTGGACCACAAATGCATGCCGCGCTCCAGACCAGTTGTTGCCACTTGTTTAATACGCTATGATCACAGCCAACACGTTGACTTCATCTCTTTACCATGATGTGAAACCACGAGAGAGTGGAACTAAGCCTGGAAAGTTTTATTGTTTCCATTGTCTATGCGTCCTTCCCTCACTAATGGCTCGACAGCTGCTGGCTCTTGTGACCCCATGGCCACACGATAGCAAGGCACAGCTGAAACGGAAGGTAGAGCTCTCCACAACTTCAATGGGAATGATTGTGTCATTTCTATCTCATAAAATCCTATCCTTTTTAGCAATAAATATTAGGCAAAAATGTATGTCAAATAGTCAACGAAGGTGTATGTCAATTGGTGAAGCCAAAGTGTGCCCTCGAAAGTCCTTACTTGAATGCTACAAATAATCACTCTAATCGGGTAATAACTCGTTTGCTATTAGTTGTTCTCGTGAATGCTGCTTCCCATGCAGCTATGCGTGGCAACGCAATCGGGTCCGTACTTCAAACGTTTATCACCAGAGTGAATAGCATGCAGTGAGTTCAATAGAAAGAAATAAATTAATTACAGTTTATTTAAACACCCCTCTAAAACACCACAAGTAAAAGCATTGAACCGAAGTATTTAAGTAGCCCTTTCCAAGATTCAACATTATTTTCATTAGCGATTTGAACCTAAGGAAGGAAAACGAAATCGTGAAGCTTTATTCCCGAAGCCTGGAACTTCTCTGCCGAGCTAAATCAGTGTCATGAAGTGTCCTACTTTTGTAGTGGATAAACGTTTCCAAGCGGACGTAAACATTTTTTCGGTAAGCACATTAAAATTTCATAAAGTTTTAGCTAAAGCAAATGCTTACAAAATAACTCGCACGAGGAGACGCTTGCTTTGCGAGCAAGACCAAGTAAAATATGGGCGCAAAAGAGCCCTTACGCAAATGGAGATGTGGTAGAGATGACAGTGGACACTCCTCACTATAATTCATGTCCTTTTTCAAAATAAAGGAAACTCTTTGTCGTTACACCGCCTGTAGATGCGCATCGTGTGGAATTTGCGATCCAAACTACTCAATAGGGAGCAATGAATTTAGAGTCAAAGTTTACCATAAATTTTACCAGTTTACTTGGGTCGCTCTTCCACGGCTTACATATTTACCAATCTTGTTCACTGCAAAATTGTATTCCACATAATCACAAATTCAATAAACCCGTCACCGTCCGAAGAAATAAGGTGGTTGTAGCGTTAGTAGCAGCACAGCATCAACTTTCTTATCTCAAGCCGGTCGAAACTACTCGGACATCTAGATGCAGAATTCGTGTGCAGTGTTGATTGGCAGGCCTGGGCAACTGTGACGTGATTCATCGGCCAGTAACGACTCGGCCAAGCATGTCGCGCGGGCGGGTAAGCCTCGGCAACTGATGGCGATTGCCATCCCGAAACATCATCGTTTTAATTTTTCCGTTTAGTCAACCAAAATGTTCACTTTGTGAATTTTGGGCTTGGGACCACCACCCATTAAAACAGCGCTTTTACTCATTCTTAAGGTGTCTCATGAAACAAAGAATAGAGAATCATCTTTCAAATGAAAAATTAAACGTAACGGCTTTCTAAAATTCTCTTACCCTAACGACAATAACGTGGTAGAGGACGATAAGTCCGATTAGGGCAAGCGTTGAGCATGTTATCAGCGACTTCAGCATTAGCGACCAAATGGAGTCCTTAAAGTAAAGCAAAAGGCGAATGGAATCAGGTACAAGGAAATCCAAATAGGGTATCGCATTTTGTAGTTTGAATGTTACTCCCATTGAAGTTATGTTAAAAGGCGTCATAAATGTTAGCCAGGGTCGGGTAGGCAGGCGGACAAGCAAGTAAAGCGACTTTCATACGTTCAAAGAAAAGGACAAATGCTGGGCCCATTCACTTATTGACCATAAAAATGAGTGATTTGGAAGCGATGTCACCTTGTAGCTGAGGCTACTCTTGGCTGCAACATCAATGAGCTGAAGTGGCGCACTTGGTCTAAGCCATAGATGGGACTCTCGCAGAAGTCACGGCGTTTCCTGGGTTCGTCTTAGAAGGCGCTACATCCAACTGCCTCCTCAGTCATGACAATGCCTGCGTTGCGCAAGTCATCGGCTACTTTACTCTAGTGCCGCGACCAAACAGTGTAACTTCGTTAAAGTTTTTATAAAGGTTTGGAGAAGAGAAGATGAAAAAATGTTTTTTGAAAGTCTTGTTAAAATTATACTCATTGCTAGAATCGTAAGTTGATAGACTTCAAAACGGCTTTGAAGGTTCCGGTAGATGGCTTCCTTTTGCCGAAATTAAGTGACGTATGGCCGTTTCATTTCATTTTTCAAACACAAAACTTGTGCCGCCCATTAAATTTCCGGTCACTTTGTGCCTTTGCATAACGTAAGTAGGCAGTCATTTAAAAATAAAAGGGGAAGCTGTAATGGTCCATTGCTTCTATGCCCTCACCCTCCTCTCCAACGTCACGAAAAGTTGACCACAACGAATCCACTGTTGTACTGATGTGAATGTGTTTAGAAGCAATAAACTATGACATCAGAACCTTTGACTCACGAACGCAATCCATGGGAGAAGCAAAGCTGTTTTAGCGTTCGTAAGCATTCATTTAGGCCTTATCTTGTTCATCACAATTGCTGACAGCTCTACTTAAGAGCAAGTCGCTTAGGGAATTGATAGTTGGACATCTTTGGTTTCACACGAAACCTGTGTCGTCCAGGAGCACCCATTTTTCAAGAGGTCTACTCATCTTCGAAGCTACACTAGCATTACTTCCACAAAAGAATCATTGGACACTACGACAGATCGGCAAATACTTTGAATGGTTCATTTTATTCATGTAGGCAAGAGCATACTGATTTACGTGGTTAATTTGTGTGGAATACATACCCACGATGAAAACCAAATGGTTAAGGAAGATATGCAAATACGTTTATTGTTTACCTTGGTGACAACTTGACCTAAGGTGAGCTCATTTTCCACAATCATGAGGAGTATTCCCAGCACCGCAAAGGCAAGCGAGTAATCCGACACCATGCTTCTCTGCTGAAACATCCGTCTCCGCCGTCCAAGTCGATAGCCGACGTTATGCAACATGGAGTTGCTACGATGGCCTTGCATTGCTCGAATGCTACGGAAGCACACATTGTGGATGACTTCAGCTTGTGAGCAACAATTTGAACAAAATCATAAAGCCCTACGATTTGGACCTACCGGCGCTGCCGCAATGCGAACACGGATTCTAAACAGGGACCGTCATCATCACTTGACTTCCTTTCAGACGTTCGGTGAGACACCTGAGGCTTGAGAATTGAGGTTGGTGCCACCTCAGAAGGTTTTGTGATTTGTTTCACCTTGGTCACATCCGTAGTGGAGGCGACGGAGGTAAAAAGCGGTGACATGCTTCTCTTCCTCCAGGACAGCTGACTTTTGTTTGTGCACGAACAAGGAGTTTTGTGCACGCACCGATTGTTAAGGTAGGATTCTCGAATGCTGCAAAGAGAGGTATTGTGAAGTTTATCGTCCCCTTTCCAACCTTGTTTCTCTGTCTCTACATCGTGTGTTGGAGAGAGTTGTACTGAGCGCCACTGATTGCGATTTGAAAAAGTTTTTTGTCTCCGGGCTCGAAGTCGTGCTGCGTTAGCTGCCGTCATGTTAGAAGCAGTGTGGTTAACGAGGATGGTTTTCACTGGATTCCTTGAACCTCGTGTCAAGTAAACGGTCACTTGAGCACCTCGGTCTGTGATAATTCCACTATTATTTTTAACGTCGCTAACAGGTTGAGGCTCCACCATGGTTAACGATCTGTCCTGCACTAGTCCATGTTCTACCGTACTCTGGGGATTTGCAATTGACTGGGTTCTCCAACTATTGCGAAATTTTTGTGCTTTTTGGCAGTAATATGGACGTTTCGGTCGGGTCATGTCAACGGAGGGCATAAGTGTATCATCCTCCTGATCCTCTATGGTCTCCTGTTCCACTGAGTTTTTTGAAGAGATGTTTAAATTTATGAATTCGTCTGCATCACCCGTACCTGACAGCCTGCAATTTTTGATCCCCAATAGTGCCTCTTGAGCTATGCTACCTCTGTGATTAGAGCTTCGATTGATGAAAGATGACTGTTTGCTTGTCAGATGAACATAGGAGGATTCTTCTCGCTTGAGTGGACCATTTCGGGAGTAGTCATCGTCTTGGGACTGAATGTTACAGCTGCTATCGAAACTGCTGGCCCATATGGTGGGCTTGAGAGAATTTGGTACCTCCTCCTGTGAGGAGTGTGCCTTATTCGCCTTCTTGCGCATGTTGGCGATGAGGCGAGGTCTTGTGCTGGCAGCCAAAAGGGCCACAGCTCCACGAGTGTCAAGGTTGGCAATGATGGAAGGGGAGAGAGCAGAACACATCTCCTGTTTTTCACGGTCATGCTTAATACCTTTGACGCTGCGGAGCTGTGAGAATCCTGAAATTTAATTGTACAAAATGGGATTTCAGTCATTGCGTCAGTGCCATACAACCGATGTCAGGGATACTTACAATCGTGATTACAGATGCAGTCCAAAGCCTTGGTAATGCGGGTAAAGTTTAAACAATTTGAGCTCAGCATAAGAAAATTGAAATTTTGGAGGTAATAATGAAGTGGTGTCTTATTTGCATTACCGAGGTGGCGAAGTTGGGAATAAAAGTTTCGGTATCCGCGTGCATCAATGTGGGATGCTCCAGTAACCAACAAGAATTTACGCAAATCAAATTTTAAATCCGTTTACATAACTGATTATAAGTAGTGTATCAAATTACTCCAATCAAATTACCGAGAAAAAACAAAAGTGGGTTTCAGATGAAGTGGATCTTTTGCCTGAGTCAGCATTGCAAGACGTGGAGGGAACTAAGCGATCCGTTTGTATCGCTGCACATCTTCACCGTCTGCTCCTTGTACTACAAACAATTATCCTCTATTCATATTTGACAGGCCAGATAAGGCTTTTACTCCATGACCAAAGTAATCTCTCGGCCAATTTTGAAGAGTAGGGATCTCACTAACTGATCGCTATTAGCGCTACCATGCTAATTCTAATGGCAACGGGGGTTTCAAATCCTGATGGAGTCGTCAAATTGACGTGAGTTTGCAATTTTAGTCAACTAAACTGCAAAACCATATTCTGCAGCACTTTACTTCAACCTTAATGGGGACTTTTGCCTCAGTTTTATCGCAGTCAGTCGTTGAGTGAGTTGTGCTGGCCAAAGAGTAGAGGAGTGCCATTTTGCCAATTCCTACCGTCTTGGACGAATTCTTGCGGACACTAATAGGTTTACTGAATTGAGAGAAAGTTTCGATTTTATTAAAGTTAGGTGGAAGCGTGCAAACTGAATTACGTGATTGGATGTAATTTATTTCTGAGCATTTTCCCCGCTCTCCCAAGCACAGACACATTGCCACACCCACTTTCAGACATGAAAGGTTTTTTATGCTACAGAAGATTTTATGTGTGAAATGCTGATACGAAAACTACTAGACAAGATATCCTAATCACGAAATGTTATGAAAATCCTCCGACTCAAGACTCCCGATATTTCCTATAAAATATAAGTAGCTCCGTTTATCTCGAAGGCTATGCAAAAGTTCATGGGTGAAACTCATGAAACCCTGCCTTGGTATTTGACAGGCATCTTGACTGCCTCGTCACTACACAAATGATGTCAAATTAGCTACTTAGCAATCAGTCAGCCATGACACCTATTAAAGAAAGAAGAAGAAAGTTAGCTGAATGACTTCAATCAGGGCCCCAGTCAAAAACAGCTCCTAAGCATTTAGTTTGCCCCTCGCAATTGAGAACGCGTGACAATTTGCTGTGAATTATACAGGGATGGGATGCAGTTAGAGTGATGCACCAAAATTGACCAGACCGGCTTAAATGCCGGCGATCGTGACTGATTTCGACTTGTTATTAGTTCTGTGATCCTCCGCCCAACGTTCCGCCTTTTTTAAGCCAAACTCACAACAACTACACACAACACAAATAAAAAACGAATCCCATTTTGAATGAACTCCATCTGCAGTTTTGATTTCCTTATTAAGTGTGTGTCTTTAGCATTCCTTATCGTCCCAAAACTAGTAGAATTTCATTTGCTGCAACAACAGACTAGTAAGTTGAGCATTAGAAAAATTGGGTTGATCGAAGGTGTGATCAGATTAGCAGCCCTCCCTCATTGTTCCCAAATAACCGTGAGCAGAAGACACTGCAGTGGCACTCGGTGAGTGTTAAGTTGTGTATGCCATTATTATTAGTCTGCACTAACCAAACGAAGCGTTTTGTTGTCTAAACGGCTTGCTTGCTAATGCCAACGGTGAAACGAAATTAATTCTGATGCGAGAAAGTCAGGCTGTAGTATTAAGCACGTATTTCTCCCAGAGAGGGAGAGGACGATGAATAAAAGTACCGATGCCCTTTACCGACGCCAAATGCTAAATGGGTAACATGAATGGAACTGAGAGGACACTAATCCACCCTCTTCAGCAACAAAATCACATGCCTTAGTGAGCTTAAAACATTAATATGAGTACGGTAAATTGTACTAAAAACCGGGAACCGTTTTCAGATTATTGCTATAAAAGCGTTATTAAGGGTGAAAAGACTTGGCGTTTTGTAACACAATAATTGCATTTGAATTACTTGGGCGCTTTTAGGTGTGGAGTCAAAAGCAGAGGATCGGAAGGTGAGGATGAAGTTGCAATCACACCTAAAATCAATTTTACAAGCACAGGACCCATTCTTTGACCTTACAAAGGCAGCAGGAGGATTGCTTCCCAACAAACTGTTTATGAATAGGTCAAATCTTTTGGCATTTTTCTAAACACTGACTCACCCTATTTCTGTTTGATTTCTTAAGTCACTGAAAACGTATTATAGGCCACCATGAAAAGAGCCTAACTAATCCATTTCCCCAAAAAACCCCACCTTAACTGTTATGTCTTTAATGAAACGACTGCCAAGGTTGCCAGGCCAACGATGCAACATCTACCCCTTAAAAGCTCATGTCGCCCTACGAGGGAATGTAAGGTACAGAAAATCCACAACCTGTGAGTTCGATCCAACGCCAACGTCTCAGTGAACAGCCACTTATTCACTGCATGCCGTCTTTACGAGGTTCATGATAGCTTCACATTATAACGTAGATTTCATAACTACATAAAGCACAGGTGAAGCTGCTTCGCGGAGCTCTTAACATACAGTGGGAGGTCGGTTCTTAAGATATTAAAAGTCTCCAAACATATGCAACCTACGTTTACTTTGTAGAGAAATAAAACTGCCTAAAATACCGCACGAGATGCTCACTGTATAAAATTTGCTGAGTTCTTAACAGGTTCCACTTCAAATAGTCTTGAGAAAATCAAATGGGGGAAGATGACTTCCCCCATCCCAACCCCAGAGTGGAATTGAACTTATTTGATACCAAAAAACCATTTTGCAGACTGACTGCAAAATTTACGTTTTGGAAAGACTCGTTGAGATTTGCTTTCAAGTAATAAGTTAACAGAAGTTGTAGCTGGTAATTCAAAAAAACTTGAAAAAGCCAATGGCCTTGATTTGATGCAGTGCTTATTTAAATTTTGCATGCCATGAAGGACGTCCCACATAATTGAACAAAAAGTGAGTTTGCATTTGCCATTGTAGGCACAATGCATGGATTTCAGCTGTGCTTTAGAAAAGTGATATGTTGAACTCGCATTAATATCAATGAATGAAACAAATGACCTATGACAATCACAATTTACCCGAAATCGCTCCACTGGCACGCATGAAGTCATAACTTATTTCGTCAAGTCCGGGAGTCCTTCTACTCTTCCGTAGGCTCGGCAAGTTTACAACAGACACGGCGTGATGTTTATGACAGGAGCAAATGCTCTCGTGGCAAGCGCATCGACCGCTGAGAGTGTTCATTGGCAATCTGGCGGCAATTTCACTCATAGCACAACAGTAGTTGCATTGAGATCGAACTCCTCCAAAGAAGGGTGTCTGTTTGGCCAAACGCTTTATGGTGACCGCCTCTGCGTCTGAAATGTGTCCATCCTCGGTGGACTCTGAAACAGCTCTGAAAATGAACTGCTTTTTCTGTTCATCCATCGAAGAAGCCGTCACCTCAGTAAGGGCATTTGGACCATCTTTATGGGAATTTTCAAGAGCAATGCAGAAGTTGGTATCATGGAGCTCGTCAACTGAGGCAGAAAATCCGCGGTCTTTAACCTTTACGCTTAGGTTTGTCATCGGTCCCTGGATCCCCTTTGGATGAACGAGTTCTGTGAAGTTCTCATCCCTCAAGCAGGAGGTTCGTATGATTATCGGCGACAGTGTGCCTTTCGCAGTGATATTATTATCTGATCGGGATCTTGGAGACCTCTTGACGGTGTCATTGGCACTGGTAATGCTCGTGTCACGACTCACGTGGAGGGGACTGATTGAGCGAGACTCTTTGAAGGGTTCACCACCAGAAGCAATAGTGGGAACACGTTCAAAATGTTCCATCCGTGGGCCCACATAGGGGGTCGTTGATTGCAAGGATTCAGACGGTGTTTCAACAATGTCAGTAAAAGACAATTCCTCCAGTGGTTTGATTGGACACATAAACGATTCAGAAGTCAATTCGCTACCCTCTACTTCGTTAATGCGGGTTAGCCTGCAATCGCCATCTGGAGGGGACAGTTGAGGCTTCTTTGGAATCAGCTGCAGTTTCTCGATGTCAGAAGTGCTCATTCATTAAGGCCACTTGGCATTAAAAAAATATAAGCCATATGCTCATTTGGTGACTTGTGAATTAGCTAACGTTCTCTTTCGCAAGAGCGCAAGTTTCCTTTATCCCGGTTCAACTGATTGGATGATTTCCTGTTAATTCCCATTGGGCCAGTGAGACATAAACATCATTCGGTGGTACTTACTGGGGCGGAGAAAACTTTGTTATGTAAACCACAAAAAATACCAACTGGTTTTGCCAGTTGACAAATTCTGTCATTTACGGGATTCGTGACTAATAAATCATCCAAAATTTGACTTAATACTTTTTTGAGACATGTTGATAGCAAGAATTCTGTTGATATATCACCAAGTGCAGCGATAGTTGTCATTGCTGTTGCTGCAGAAAATCAAAATTTATGCCTACGACTTTTGTTGTTTTCTCACTTTGGTGCAATTGTTGGAGTAAAGTGAAGGTGCTTTAATCAAACTTACAAATACCGTTGCAGATAAGATGAATGAGCAATTTTCCGATCAGGTAAGTGCCACCTTTGGTCATGCGACTGATCTCTCATTCAGGACTGAATATCAAAAGTCGAATGAGCAACCAAGTTAAAGAACAAAAGCTCCGTGTCCGAGTCCTAGTGGTAAATAACGAAGCGAACACTCATTTACTCAGGACGAGGTTGGAAAATTTAAAACACCTCAGTGGTAGGAAATGCACTGAGAGCACGGATGTAATCGTCGTTTTACCTAGAATTAAATGATTAAGGCTACCAAAAGCCGAGGCAGAAGCTACGACGATGCATCAGCATCAGATAGTTGAGAAGAATTAAGAAAAATTTCAAATATATTTTGACTTGAAAAGTCATTATTGTGAACCCTAACAACTCTGCATCTCAAAAATTAGAAATTGTTGCCTCATTTTTTATTACTATTATAAAATAGATAAAATAGTCTCATTTTCGCCTTCCCGAAAGGTTTTTTTAGAGTGTGATGGAAATAAGTTTGTAGGATTCGCATTCGGCATTTTAGTCAACGTTGCAAGATTGCCCATCAGTTCCGCTTTCATTGCATCCAGAGTCGCCTCCACGAATATTTTCTCCACTGTTGCTACAAGTTGTGAATGCTGGCTGATGGCAATTGGATGCGATGCTTTGTCGAGCGATTGACTGTTCCATAAACTTAAAATTCATTTTACAACCACTACAATAAGTAGAACTATTATATTGGGGTTTTTTACGCCATCATTTACACTTTAAAGTGTCAACACTGTTTTCGACTTCATTGTTCTTCGGCTCTTCATGAAACTATCCTCATCTCGCACCCACGGACAGCCATTCGCACATCAAAAAATAGTGAGCTGTTTACCACGCAGCAATCGCATCGCTACAGTATTGCAGCAAAAAGCTTTTACGCTGGGTTGACGCAATCGCTACTGTTCTCCGACAGGCGAAACACTTTGCTGCAACAGTGGATTAGTGGTTGTTACATAAAAAGGGGAATTACTTCATATGCACTCAAGTGAATGCAGTCGAGATCAGGACCAATGAATGCCTGCGTCTTACATGCATCATTTGGTCAAAAATGCTCGCAGGACGTGTTGCAAGTTCGCTTCGCCTAACTGACCACAACAAAGGCTGTTGTGGTAGACGCAGTAGACTGTAACTGTAGTAAAACCACCTCTCTCCACCATGTCACACAACAGTTTACCAAAAAAGCATAATTCACTCATTTGACAGGGAAGGCGGGATCACTGAAAATGGACTATTTTTGGTCACTCGTCAAGGCGAGAGCACAACAACCAAGCCACCTAAGTAGGTTGTCAAAGGTCTTTTGGGAGGTCTCATCGTTTTCGGGATTTGCTTATAGCAAAATTGTTACAAAACATGAAGTACAATGAGCACTCCTCCAAAACCTGTCTGAATTCGATGTAAACTTGTGTAAAATGAGCGAGGTCGGCCATCATATGCAATTTGCATAATTCATAAAACAACTCTCAGGGCATTCAAGCCTCTCAAACTTAACTAATTTCCTGTCAGCAAATGGCGAAAATTTTACCTCATTGACATTAGAGGCATAAGAAGTTCACTTCTAGTTCAAACTATAAACCTCTTTGTCAAGACATCCGCACATGTTCCTTGAATTTTAATGTGCATTTTCGAAGCCTTTGTCAAAATACTCCTTTGACCATTAATGTTATTTCACGGACACAGCCACTGCTTCGACTGTCTTCAGGTTCCCAACCTAATTGTGGCGTTATTGTTAACACAGCAAAATTCCTTCAAGCAACTACTTTGTCGGAGCCTTTTCCTGACTGCGAAATGTTTCCCATGAATAAACTAATCTTGGAAGGAAATTAAAATAGCCCAGCACCAGTAGCATCACTTGTCTCATGTTTGCCAAACGAAAACGTTCCAGTGCCTTTGATTTGAGGCTGCCAGCAGTTATTGGTACGCGACTTAAGCCTGCTTGACTCTTTGATGAGAAATGGGTGGGAATAGTGCTGGAGAGGAATCAAATTCGCACAATCGTATGGCACAGATTGTGATTCCTCCACTTTGGTTGTAACAAATGTCTCCGCTAAGGCGCAACTAAAAGTTGCATCAAAAATTGTGTGTCGACGTGTGGGAAAGGGCACAAAACCCACTTGTGTTAGGACGACATCCAACTTTAGGCATCCAACGTATGGTCAAAATCCAAAACGCATGCAATTGATGAAGCTGTCTCTAGGTAGACATGTCATTTGTGGAAATCCTAATAAGTTAATTAAAGTAGCCCATTAATAGCTGAATAGTCTTGTGTTTCTATATCCTCTAGCAGATATATCCTTAATTAACTTCCTTAATTGAAGATTCATTATCAGCGAAAAATATTTTGAAATTTGCTAAATGGATTAAAAAGAAAGTAGTTGATTGGGAATAGGACCGACACATGCACGACGTATTGTGCTTGCTGGTGTTGGTCAAGACGGACCAGGCACATCTCCAGGAGAATTTGGAGCAAATCTCAGTAGTTTGTTCTGCAATAAATTCATTCCTAACCAAAGATGACTTATTGGACCAGCAGTAAATGCAATGAAAAATGAAATTCGAAGTTTACTTTTATCTACAACTAATGTAATGTCAGATCGAATACGCCTAGCAGCACCATCTTCCGTAACTGGAAGAGCGACCTGCAACTCCTCATACTTACTTGTAAAGCAAATACGTATCAAGTCATTCCTTCTGATCTTTCCTGACTGCCACCACTTCATTCCACCAGCAACCAGAACTTGTGCCCCAAAAAAGCGCAACACCTCATTCACAAAATCTCCAAACTGACTGAAAATTAACGATTGACACACACTACTTCATGCCATTTTAGATGATCCAACTTTACTTGAGTCCCGAAGTTGCTAGCTGAACCAATACAAATTCTCCCCCATACACTATTAGCGAATGACCCACCAAAATCTCAAAAGATTTCCCAGTTTACCACCGGTTAGTGATAGCTGATTCGGCCAGTTTGAACACCTCTGTGAACTTGCTCAGTAACAAACAAAAATTCACGTACTCGGGCAACACAATTAAGAACATTACGTATAATACAGGCAGCAAGAGTACTAAGCTGTTAATCGCCTTTTCGAGGGAGGAGGTTCTGAGCTACTTGATGTCTGGACAGTGGAACCATATATCTACGGGAATCACTTAAAATCAGAAACCTACATTTGAGACTTAAAGTAAAGAAATGACAGTCCAGGGGAATTGCGTCCAAATATTCGGGCATTCAAAATATTCCCCTCCCGACATCTAGACAACTAACTCGGACTTTATCATAGATAATGTGTTCCGAAGATGAAGATACAATAGGACCAATGGCCTTAAGTTTACACATCTCAAATCAACGTCGATAGTGTCCAAGTGGTATTTAAACAGACGATGGATTAGAAGGTGACCTTGACGTGGAACTTGCGAGGAACTCGAGAGATTCGCCAGGAGTCCTTCTCTTCATGTTTGTTGTAGAGCGGTTCGATGCGCATAGACTTCTTTGCTCTCGACAATTTGGTGGGATCTCCAAACTTGAAAAACTTAGGCGCATACTCCACCAGCCACCGCGGGTCAATAGTGGTGACCTCACGCATGTACTCCTTCGTTGTCATCACCAATTCGTGGTAGACTACCCTAAACAGTAACAATAAAGATTAGCATTCTCTCACACAGACCATGCACTCAATACACAGACCGATTCCAAGGGCGTTTTGTGTCGACATCCACAAAAATGCTTTAAAACCAATTAGTTAAGGTGGTAAGAAAAGGCTATTTTCTGAAATGATACTCCAATTGTTATGGCAACACACACCTCACAATAATGGGCGCTTAAGGTAAACATTAAACTACAACCGATAGAATCACGCGTATCATCAATCCACTGGCCAAGCAAATAAACTTGTGCAATGAACTCCTTCATTAACTGCTCTAAAGGATTTCTTAAAGGATCGGCGCGATCTGCTAAAAATGCGCTTCCAGCTGCGTGGAAATATATCAGCAAAAAGAAAGAGCCTACCAACCCACTGACATCTATCAACCTATCAAGGTGGTATTAATCCCAAAGGTGAGGAACAGGCAAGCAAAGAGTGAGTCAAGCATAACAGCGGCGAGCATCAAGTTCTGCGCAGCCCAGGTACCTATGGCATAAACTATTGCAAAGAAATATGAACTTCACCAAAATTTTCAATCAGCAAACTCCACCCTCTTGGAAGGTGCTGTTAAGAGTGGGAAAGATTTTGTACTTTGTTAAAGCAGGATGCAAAATTAAGTGTGAAAGGGAAGAAAAGTGGAAGTAGAACTGGCAACTCACCAGTCGGGTTGTCTATTAAAAAGGGAGGAGGAGGGATGAATGTAGACCACCTGCTGATCCACTAGTGTGCGGTAGCCCTCCTGTGGATCCTTTTTAGCCGCATTACGGAAGAAACCTGAGAGGATGGCCTTCTGCACAAGAGCAGTCTTCTTTCCGCACGAAAGTACAGCGAGTTTATGTCTTTGACGAAAGAAATTGGAACAATAATAGAGAAAAGTAAGCGGTTGTCATTCAGACAAATTTTTAGAGCCACATAAACAATCGAATCATAAGGGAAAACTATTTTGAGAAAATTTTAGAAGAATCTTACGCGCGACTTTCAAAATGGGCAACACAATTGATTGGCATGGCAAGGTGAGGGAAAAAATAGCAGCTAGACGTTGTTTCACCGAATTTTGTGCCAGTTAGGCGGCAAACTTTGTCAGCCCAGACAACATCTTAAGCCCGCGAAACACTAATCAGTCGTGCTCTTGTGTCTCAAGAGCAATTTTCACGCCATCCGCCCAATAACATAATTCAACTGTCATACACTGCAACTTTTAAAACCTGGATATTGCAAACAATATTTTCACAAAGTATTTGAAATAATTTAAATGAACGATTTTGATGAAGGATCTAGTGTAGGATTATTGGTCTATAAAAACATATGAAGAACTTTTATGGCTATTGAGCAATAAGGTAAGGAATAAAATTCTTAGTGAAGTGCGTTTTCGCTAGAAGCCATTTAATTTGATAATAAAGTTGTGTATTTTTCAACAAGATGCATGAAAGGCTACATTAAACCTATTGGCACACAGTTGCATACCTGTCCATGATACCAAGAAGCTGTTTCCGCACATCTTGTGCCCGTTTAAGCGTTCTAGCTTGCACGAAATTGTCGTAGCACCAAGGTGCTGAGAATTTGTTGTTCTTCCACGCATTGTAAACCGCTAGTAGGGTAAGGTGGTCACCTTCTGGCTGGTGAAATTTGGCCTTTCGCTGGTCCGCCAATTCCGTCTTCTCCTATTTGGAAGTAGTGCACGTGTTTAAGTACTTTATCAGCGGTTAGTTCTAGGGCATAAGTTTATCTGCTTGCAACCACTAAAGCAGGTTCAAATTTTTAGTCCATAACAGGGAAGAGACGGCAAGTCAAAGTTTGACAAGAAGCAGGACCTAGGTTCAATCAACCTCGCCCTTAGAATATCTGGAAATCATTCCGCTTCGAAAGAACAGCCTATTTAGCATCAGACAGTTGGGCACCAACCCCACAGCAACACACATTCTCAAGGTTAAAAAAGCATGCATAAGATAGTGAGACATGAGTTTTTAATCCCCACAAAAGTGTAAACTCATGTATTGGCACGTACCTTAGGCCGATAGAAAACATTTTGAACAGAGAGCATAGACACAATGGTAAGAACCTCCTCCGAGCAGGCAAGCTGGACAGACATGATCAGCATTTTTGACAACATTGGCTCAAGGGGAAATTCAGCCATCTAGAAAATGAGAATTGTGTTATGGTTGTTGTGAAGCAAGAAATTGGACGCCATGCCCACCAATCTAACAGGAGTAGAATTCCAAGGCATTCATTGCTTTCAGTGCCCAAATGAAAACAGGAACAGGTTTTGTGGTAGCAAAAAAATTCGTCAATCAGAAAGTGCGCAATGATTATGGTAAAAGGTGGGTCTAAAAGCCTCAAAGCGCGTAACTCTGCATAAAAGCTGATCAAATGGTCAAACAAAGGATTCTGTAGTGCGCTCCATAAAGGTAAGCGCAGACGAAAACTTTATAATTCCGATGAAACATAAATGGCCATTTTAACAGTGAATGATGCCAAAAAGCATTTTCCCTGGGAACAGCCAAGCAAATTTTTGTCTCAAAAAATTGAAAGCTAATTTAAAAATAACAGGATTACTGATGGGCCAAGAAGTCAATTAGAGGACGTAGGGGTAAAATGAACCACTTATAACTCTGAAAGAACTTGAGAGGTAGCGGTACGAAAACCAAATAAAACAAAATGTGTACATTGAGTTGAAAAAAGGACCGCAGCGTTGAAACATAAATTATGTCAAAGTAACTCGATAATAAATGCACAAGTCAGCAAAACCAGCTCCAATGTAAAACATCCAGCAAGCTAGAAAATTTGGTGCAATTAAACTTTTAAGTAGTTATCCACTAATGGCTTATACTAATTACTTGGAGGAGCCAACGATATCTCTTCTTAATACTGAATAAAAATAGCAGAGGCAACAATAACAAGAGTTAGTAAGCCATACCCTTCGTCCGAGACGGGTGAGCAGACCTTCATCATCAAGTGCAGAAAGAGCGTGAAGGGTAACCATTGCAGCCACCAGAGTCTACAAAGAATGACAAACATGGGGAAGACAGAGAAAGCGAATGTGTCCCAAATTCACTATGCAAGCGATTTAGCTGATAGTCGCTTGCTGTCATCATTTTGCGCCTAGAGGGGAGCAGAGGAAGAACCATTAGCAGAGGTCTGGAGAAGCGGAAGAATAGGGTGATGGAGCAAGTAAAATTACCCACTCATATGACAACTGTAGAGGCGAATACAGCGGAGTATAGTATACTCGGTCAGAATCCGGGAAAGACTTTGGTCCTCCCGTTACTAAGAAACTTCGCTCCTTTAACAAATGTCAAGTAAGTCAACACGTACAGATAATTATGAAAACAAAGTTACGTCCGACATCTAACGCTTGAGCTCTTAAGACAACAAAATGTGAGTGCACAGAACCTCCTCAACGGAGCACGAAAATTAATGTCTTGAAGAAACAAAATCACACTTAACTAGCATTTAAATCGGGCGAATGCTGAACTATAATTCACTAAAAAATTGAGTAGAATAAAAAGAACATAAACTCAGAAGCTGCATACTTGGGGAACCATTTAAAAGGTACAATTTATTTTACAAATTGCGGGATGGAGACTATTAAGACCAATTGATGGTGCTCCAAATGAAATCAATTAAACAAAGCGATTCGTTTGGTGATTGGCACAATTGGAGGACAATGCACGACTTTGAAGCCTCAACCCAGCGAGACGAATGTTTGCTACTCGTGGCCATTATACAGCCCCATTCTGTTTTCTCCTCAAAGCGACTAACAAGCACATTGTGGTACAGAAAAGGCGGACATCGAGTCTGGAGCACTCCTGACAATCATTCTCTATGGCAGAGTAATTGATGCTATATACCGCATGTTTTGGGAAACACTTCCCACTGATCGGTTTGGGGGTAGTGAGACTTTACAGGTTGGAAATAAGCCTTATCGCCACAAAACACGACCCTGATGACGACCGTTAATTCTAGTGCATATTAACCAAAAGTAGCGATCCATATACCACCCCTTCATCCCTTTTGGTGTGCAACTTGGGGCAAGCCGTTTAGTCCCCAGTTGCTATTCCCTATAAAATGCGCTACTGAACATCCTCTAAAGAAAATAACAGGATCAGACAAGATTCATGAATTTCTGTAATAATAGCGCACCTGAAGAGGAGGAGGATCCATGAAATCAAAAGAAAGGAGGTCGTTGATGCCCATAGCTTTTAGTTGAAGCACAGTACTGGCGAGGTTAGTGCGCTGAATTTCCGGCACGTTTGTGGAGAGCATTTCATCACGTTGAGCACGCTCCGTATAGAGACGATAGCATTTGCCTGGCCCCGTCCTGCCAGCCCTTCCCGCACGTTGCTTTGCTTGAGCCTTGAAAAAAAACATGCATTAACATTAATAATAGCTGCTTCCCGCTACCAAGACTTCATTAAGATATAACAGAAATTATCCTTCAAGAGTAGAAAAGTGCAGTTGTTTTGCAAAAGGTGTACGCGAATACAATAGATAGATCCGAGAGGCAGGACGCGTGCGGCTCATTGAAAGTGGGTCTTGACTTCAACAAAATAATCAAGGCTAAGATAGAACCCGTGAAATGATAATTGGCAAATGGTAGTAAGCAATCTAGAGAATAAAATGATTCCCCTTCAATATAATAAATGAATGCAATTTTATCATGAAAGATATCAGTGTGACTTTTGGGGTAGTAAATGCGAGCCATATGGCCTGAAAACCCAGGCAACTTTTTTTGTGAGAAAGGAGTATATGCAAATGGGGCTCAGTAAAATACCGATTATGCTCCTGTCAGACACCTCCTCCTCTGCTCCGTTCCACAAAAGGGACGATAGAGGCGCTGCAATTGGAAACCTTGCATCAGACTTTCATAGTCATCAAACGTAAGTCCCAAAGCAGAGCATTAAGTAGCCATCAGTGTGCATTTTAGTTATCTATTGCCGTAATTATTATACAACTCAACTTGATCCAAGACCGATGGTGAATGGCTAATGGACACATAGATACCAGAAAATTGCATAAATTTTGAATGAAAGTCGTATCCTAATAAAAAAAAAACGTCTAGAGAATAAAGCTTAAGCAAGCCCAAATAACAGATGACTACAGAACCCAGATGCGAATTCAGAACGACAGCGACCGAAAGCAAAAGCACATCTACCCGAGTAGAGCCGACCAATAGTTCGATTCAAAAGTGAATAGGTTCGTTAGAAGGTGGCATTGTTATCATTCGTAAAATAAAATTTGATTTTAATCTTTTATGAGTCGCCAACTGCGTATCTAAGAGCCAATAGATTAATATGCATTAAAGTCAAAACAGCCAATTCGTAAACGCTTTAGAGCAGGACTTCACTTATTACATTAGACCTGATTAGTGACAGGATGTCAATTTACGAAACAATAATTCAAGCTTTTTCTTCGTGGGAAAATCCTACAAAATTGCTAACCTTATCAGGCTCAAAATACTTCAAGTATACAGGATGTTAAAAAAATTAGGCGAATGTATGTAATGAAGGCATAAGAAGTTCTTGGGTCTTTATAAATTTAATGACCTGGCGCATAAAACTGTGATTGTAATCATCATTTTCATCACCATAAACTAGGAATTCCATCCCGACGACCAATCAAGGAGCAAATGTTATGACAGATGGTAGTAAACCAGGCCGCAAATCCACACCTGAGAAATGGGCGTGACGATAAGTTGGTCCATCCCAGACTTGCTGCTGTAGACCTTTTGTTTGACAAAGCCAGGATCAATGACGTAGAATATACCATCAATGGTGAGGGATGTCTCTGCAATGTTGGTGGCGATGACCACCTTCCGACTACCTGGTGGAGCAGGATCGAAGATCCGCGACTGCATCTCCGAGGGCAGCGCCGCATACACCGGCAGAATGATGAGCTCAGGCACATCAGGACCTAGCGCCTTCATGCGGTCATACAGAATTTCACATGCCGAGTCTATCTCCTCCTGACCGGTCAGAAAGACCAAAATGTCACCTGTAATGCGGAGTACATCACGAGTATTCGTTCTCATGCTAAAAACACTTCTATCGAAAACAGGTTTCGTTAGTCCGACACCAATCGATAATAAGTAGCGTAGTGAATTACCAGGAGGCTCTGTGAGGTGGATTTGCATGACAGTATTGAGCGCCGCATCGAGGTAGTCACTTTCGGGTTCCAGACTGTAAAGAATTTCGACAGGAAAGGCTCTGCCAGGAATCGTAAATATAGGCTGAAAAAGGAAACAGTACAGATTCCCAAGGTGTTGCAACTAGGTGTTCTAAGGCCATTCAATATTATTGTTTTTAATGAAATGTCCTCGAGAGGTTCGTGGGCAGGTTGGCAGAAATAACGACATTTGTAAGATAAAATTAATGGAAAATGAGTTAACTGCATGGATCTTTATCGCAAAGGTATAATGGCATGTTGCGATGCAGTCGATGGTTGAATTGGGTGAAATTGCAAACCAATAACTTTGATACACTTCCAAATGAAGCATTACCACCGATTTTATGATTAAAGCCATATTTTAAATGGCAAGGAGAGTCAAGTTCTGTTTCATAAAGGAATACAAAACATTCGATCATAAACGGAGTTACTGGGGGATGAGAAAAGCTCAAGTCAGTTTCGTAAAAGTACTTTTATGAAATCTAGACGCATTAAAAAGGAATTGCTATTGACGTATATGGTGAAGGTCGAATCAAATTCCCACATAAAGCTGGGTTTCACAGGAGATCACGCAAGCTTACCGCCTCAAAGAAGTACTGTGAAAACTTGACTGAATCCAAGGTAGCTGAGGTCACGATGAGTTTGAAATCGTCGCGCTTCTTAATGGCCTTCTTCAAGAGACCAAATAGCACGTCTGTGTGAATGGTGCGCTCGTGGGCTTCATCCAACATGAGGACAGAGTACTGGCAGAGATCAGGATCAATAAGGCATTCTCGAAGCAGCATACCTTCCGTCATGTACTTTATCTTCGTCTCGGGTGTGGTGCAGTCCTCAAAACGGATAGTGTAACCGACCTCCTGACCTAGCCGACATCCAAACTCTTCTGATACCTATTTGGGCAAAAAAGCTTCATGAGTTAGCATATTTGCTCATAAGGCTTCGATTCAAATGGGTTGCACTTCCTAAGCAAGTCAGTGAAAAATTATGCAGAGGTGGAGAGTAGAAGAAAGGGATAGTTCACCGGAGCTCTACATATGCAGATGACCTAACCGTGCCAAGATTGATCGAATGGACATTTCTGGATTAGCAACACCAAAGGAGTACAGAGAAGATTTCGTTTGGATCACGGTAACATTTAATGAATAACGGGAGCATGAGTGAAATAAACACAAGGCAGTAAAATGAGTTCAAACAACTTCCCACGGTTAAATGAAGGTTCCAGAAAATACCCTTTTTCACGAAAAATAGCCGTCAAATAAGATTGTATGTCCTACTCTATAACACTTTTCTACCAAAAACAGAAAATCGGTCCCAGTCACTTTTAACTCCATGTCATTTCTTTCTTTCCCAACCGCCTATTCTACTTTGCATGCGATTTCTTAGAGGCAAACAAAACTGACCAAGGGAGTGTGAAGGATGAAAATTGAACATCGCCATTCAACGTAAATTCACGACAGCCTAGTAACTGCGGGGGGTTTTTTTCCTATTGGTCAATGCAAGACCTTTATGGCCTGAAAACACGGTGAGTAGACTTTCAGTGGGTAACCCGTAATACGTTCATGGACCCTACATTGAAACAACAATTCACTCCCATTCCCATTTTCATTCAATCAGCCAGCAAACAATTCTGAATGCGTAGCGCATCTCACAGCATTCGTAGGAGAAGCAAAAGGCAACAATGATAGTTGTGCATTCCTGCCACCACCAACCAATGCTTTGAAGTGAGCAATCCACGTCCCGGTTGGTATTATTTGTTTAAGTAATGGTTTGCCATTAACGCTAAACATCACTCAAACTTGTTTTTGACACTCACATCAGCCCAACATGCCAGCATATCCCTGTGCGGAATGGCGATCCACCCGAGAGGGACTCATCCTCAATCCCTTCAATATCACTGTCGCCACCTCTTTTAATCACACTCTCTGGCGTCAATCGAAACGTCCTGCTTCTCGATGACACGATCAACTGCTGTATCTTTTCAAAATGTTGGCGCGCTGCACAGGAAGTTTCACAGCTTTGTAACCCAATTTAAATAAACAAGACAGACAGAGTTGAACTACATCTAGTTTGTACTGTCCTTTAGGACGCTTCACAAATTGCAAAAGCAGTACAAAGTATCCCAGGATATTGGCATTTGCAATAGATCTCCGCAATCACCCACAACTGCATGAACTTTCGATTCAACTGATGTGAGTTGTTTTAAAATGAACTACTCGTACTACGAATGATAAAACTCAACTGTCGCATCCAGGATGCTGAATAAACCATTTAGGAATATGGTGCTGGACAATAATTTCTTTGAATGCAAATAAAGACTCCGAGCAAAAAAGCACAAATAACTGCGTAGAGAAATGCACGCAGAAGCATTAGTACTGACCATACAAAAGAGCTTGAATTTGTACCCCTCTCCAAATAGATTTCGTCGGAAAGAGGGTGCCCATCAAAATATCGTAAGGAAAAATACAGTAAACCATGACAGACAATCAGGCCTTATGATGGAGCATTCCTTTGGTAAGACCGTCAACAACGCCTTCAGATAACAATTGAAACAAAGTCCCGCGACTGTGAGCTGGCATTCAAGGTCCGGAGTGTCACGAAAGCGAGAGTGTGGGATGGGTCTATTGTTTAACAGCTTCCTGTTTATTTCACAGTGGGTTGGTGGATGCGGCAAATTAAATCGAAAAAGGTTGGACGTGCTAAGCCAATAAGTTACGTTATGCATTTGGAATCTGTTCGATACAGATGTAATTCATTTGGCCAATCATAAAAGACATTAAATTTCAAAGAGAAACGAAACAAGGATATCAGTATGCTTATGGAGTTGATCTGCATAGAGACATAAACACAGAGATAGAGATTGATGGAGTTTTTTGCTCGTTCACGTATGGGAAAAGGTACGAAAATGCGCCTATGCAATCCTATCTATGTATGGCATCACTTTACCTACGACCTCAATGCACTCAACTAGAAAATGTCATTTGAACGATCGTGAGGCTCGAGAACGCACACAGAAGAGCCCCAATTAGCTGGCAATGGGGCGCATCTGACTTAATCTTGTGCAAATATATTGACATGAATAAAAAAAACCCTAGCAAATCCAGAAACGATACAAGGGTAAAAAAGAACAAGAGCAGTAAATGAGGCAAGAGTAAGTCAAAAAGGCGCTGAGCGAGGTCGCAGAATAAAAGCCACGATGTTATTAGAGCCATGTGTACTTGAAAACCACCCTTAATCTCCTATGATTTGACAAACAGCCTCCATCTAATGGGTAGATTCGTTCATGAAGACTTGCCATCTCCTTCGGTGTTGGCAACTGTGGCCAAAAACGCTCAAAAAATTGGACTTTCAAGGATGCTTAACACTGTATTTCCCTTAATAAAAATCCTGCCAGTCACAAAATCTGCAGCAGAAGTGAATTTTAAGCTATTCCACGGCAATAATTAATGAGGATTAGAAGTTAGGAAACAGACTAGCTCGTATGGAATGAGAAATATACCTGAACGATCTGAAAGGCAAGTAGTTATCGAGCAGCCAACGCGCGCAAACCCAAGCAAATAACTGTTGCGTCTGCACACTACATGAACGAGGCAGCGTTTATATGGGTAAAGATCAAATTAATCTCTCAATATGGTTGACTCTTTCCAGTTACTTGAAAACTAGTGTTCTCCAATCCCATACGATCAGTGATTTCGACCGAGTATGCAGCTCAAACATTTACTATCAACTACTGTGTAATAAAAGGACCTAAAAACCAAGTAGTTTGTGCTCTGCACAATTGGGATGGCAAAGAGAGGTTAAAACCAACTTACAACTTACAAAAAATAAGAGCATCGAGTATATTTAAAAGAGAACTCACTGGGGTTGTTGAGTTGAGAATTAGTCAGGTACGTGAGGAAGGTAGGCAAGGTCGACTTACCCGCTTGGCGACAGACATAGCGGCCACGCGCCTGGGTTGGGTGCATCCGATGCGCCCTGCTGTGGTATAACCAGCCTCGGCGAGGTACTGGGTGATCTGTGTGGTTTTTCCACTGCCTGTTTCACCAATCACAATAAGGATCTTGTTCTCCTCGATGGCCTAATTAGTGAAATAGGGATTTACTTTACCGTCTCACCGTATTAAGCGAACTCCGCTTGCACCGAATGAGCTATCAGGCTCTTCCACTTAACTTCCAAGTCTTAAAAGTGATGAAACAAGTAAAAATCGAATAAGAATTGGATGACGGTAATAAAAGGAGACCCCAAAAAGGAGGACTTATTTAAATAGATTAAAGCTAGAATCAGAAGCACCCTGCAGCATATACCAAGCCTCAATTATGACCATTTTTCAGTCATTAATCATAAAGTAAGAACACAGACCTAAGTCCTTGAAAAATACCCGTGTTCTACCTTCTGTACAATCTGAGGCATTTATTATTTAGGTTTAACACAAGGCAGTGAATCCTTATCTACGGTCATGATATTCTACGCAAGTCGTCATGTGTATGGTTTTGCAGTCAAGAACAACCTGAATAAGCACTGCAAGTTAACTCCCAACTTTAATGAGATACCTTAAGAATTCAGTCATTAAATCGCGGATTCAACTGTGTATGGCTAAGCCAAAAAAAACAACATTGATGACAATGCAAAAAAATTTGATGGAAAGCAGGAAAGATAATTGAGTGCAAGGCAAGTGCCTTGCGTTTTGGATTTCGAATGATGGCAGCGCCTAGAAAAACACAGACAGCGAAAAGGCATGTATCAAGGCTACTTGATAGGGTAAAACTACATACAATGAGCAGGATTGATCTTTGAAAGCCTTTCCCATCAAACCCTTGGACGAAACTGGGCATCTCTTCACTAATTACTAATACAAATGCGTTGTAAAAACCTCAGGATAGTGGTGATGAGATTAAATAACAATTACACTGGTTCAAAAGCAAGCAACCATGGCGGACATAATGCAGGCTCACTAGTTCACACAAAGAATTGATTAAGTCAAAAGCCTAACATGCAACAGTTCCCAGTAAAAGGAACACGAGGTAATAGGTTTTACAGACGAACAATCGAATTCTGTAAAAATTGAACTGTACATTTGAAAGTGTGTTATGACGTAAACCCGTATTTTCGACTGCATTTCACTACCAATGAAAAATCAAAAACTGAAGCAATTTCGTAGTGGAAAATAAGTATTCGAAACAGTAGTTAAATGCAAGGGTAGAAGCGGCTACAAAAAAACAACTCAAAACGGAAAAAACTGGTGACGGATTGGATTGTGTGAATTCACTCCACAAAATTTCTGAAAATTTGAATTTTTATCCCTTTTTCGATCGGAGAGAGTTCAGAAAGCACTGCACATAGTTTATTAGAGGTAACATTCAAGCTAAACGTTAACAGGAAACAAGCTCAAGTATTAAATGGCAGTCGAGGTGCATCAAATCCATCTGTTTAACCTGATGGGAATCAGCTTACATGAAGTCTGTGAAACCTAGCTGGCATACAGCATCTTGCTTTTCAAAGAACAATTTTCACGCGTTGATGACATGACTTAGGAGCCCAAGGCTTCCAGGTTGGGTATGAGCAGGACCGTCCAATAACAAAGTTTGGGCACAAATCCCTGAAATTCTTGTGCAACACCACTTCGACAACACATAATGAGTTAAAGAGAGCTTAAGGCAGTAAGGAGAACTGGGACCTTATGCGATCTTTCTAAGGGACTTCGTCTACTATGCTCGAATTTGCATGACATCATACACACAATTAATGATGGGTATCAGTATGAATGGTATTGTCACTGCGAAAGCAAAAAACATTCTCAGCCTGGTTTTTCGCGGCATACACAGGGCGCAATATTTAACATGATCAGAGACCTAAGTGATAGATCGTCACAAGCACCGGGTAACTTACATAGAATTTTCTATAATGAATAAACGAATCGTACCCGGATGAACTGATAAAAGCCATGCAACGACACTCACCTTCAACAGTTCATCCTTTAGTTTGTAGATGGGCAAAGATTGGCGCTGTTCGATGATCGATCGAACAATCTTTTTCCCTATAGCTCCGGTTCGAGTGCTTGCACCATGAACCGCTTTCTTCCACTCGGGCACATCCTTGAATTGGTCAGATGCGCGACTGGTCTGAGTCACGGGCTTACTTCCCACTGAATAGATTTAAGACAAATAATATCTACTTGACACACAATTTCCACTATCGACGAAGAGAAAATTTAAATTATAAAGCCTACAGTACGAGTGCTATTAAATCGAAAATCTCGTACGACTTTGCCATTTCGATAATATCAGTAGAGATCTTAGCAGACTGCCCCGCCACCAGCAGAAAAGGTGAGCACACCTTAGGTACAATCGCCTGTAGAAACCGAAGTTCTAAGATATTGATAGACTGAGAGCAGGCCGCCAGGTTTAACTTAGCGGTTGAAAATGAAGCAACCGTTAAAATACGCCCAAACATTAGTGGTCTAGTCAAAATTAAGGGTGTAGCCTAAGTATGTTGCGTGCATGAGCGCAATCCAAATAATAATTACACCAATTTACTACCAGTATTCATGAATAGAATTTCAGCAATAAACTCATTAGCGTAACATTACCTATCTTTTGGTAACCACTATCCCATTCGTCAAAAACGTTCTTTATGCGATTTTAGATCAGAAATAAACAAGAACACATAACCGGTAAAAAGACTGCTACCCAAAATTTGTAAGTAAAAGTTATTTAATCACTTGCTGCTGCCATAGGGTCTTGCCATTCCTTGCCCATACGCTCGTGAGCGGTGGCACGTTCAGTACTAAGTTGATTTTGACGCTCTTGCTGTTTTTCCTCTCGACGCTCTTTCTGGAGTGCTTGACGCATCATGGCAGCCTGCTGCAAGGAACCATCTGGGTTCTTGACGATTCTCACAGGGGACAATTCCATAGCGTGGCGGCCATGACCCTGACAATACGATTATAAATCTTGGGTTAAATAGAACATGTTGCATAAATTAGAAGTGGGATGATAATAAGTTCGATATCTGATGAATAATGACAGGCAATCAGTGAAATATTTGTACCTATACTTATTTGCACTTAATGTGTCCACATAAGTCATTGTTACAACGGATAGACGATATGACAAATTTGAAAAAAAAAACAAAAATCCTCACACGGGCAACGATAAAGATGATGTAAGCTACCAGTAATCGACCATTCTAAACGCGAGATAAGCTCAAAGTAATGGAAAGATTGCTCACCTTCAAAAAGGGTGGTTCCTCTTCCACCAACTCAATTTCAATGTCTTCGTCCGATTCATCATCCTCCCTAGGCAAGAGACCCGTCTCCTCGTCAAACTCCGGCAACTCGGACTTATCTATTACACCAGCACTTATCATCTGCTTAAACTCCCAGCGTTCTGGAGAGCTTATACGCTGAATCTTCCTCTTCGGGCCGAAATCATCCTCCAGGGCCTCCCTTCGAAGACCCATCATGGAAGAAGGCTCTTCAAATGGTCTGTCAGGATTGCGCCCACCAAAATCATCACCATCATCATTCATACCACTGCTCCCCTCAAGCCTGCTAGCCTCATCACCTAGCCTAATGTCGGACAGAGTCGCAGTGGATAAAGATGGATTCAGGTCCTCGCCAGTTTCTTGATCGACCTCACGCATACTCAGACTGGTCCGAGTTCCAGTGAAGGACAGAACTTTGACATAAACCTTTTGATGACGCTGTACAACATCACTAACACTGCCAACACGACTTTCCCGACGTAATTGCGAGACGTGAACCAGGCCTTCCCATCGCTTCTGAAGTCCCTCGAGCTGAACGATAGCACCAAAAGCTAGAACGCTGGTGACTCGACCCGGGAAGACCTTTCCAACGACGGGCTCCATTGGAAGTTCGGATTTGAGTTTAGGACGAATGCGTCGAGAAGACGAAAATGATGTTGATCTATCACGATTCCTGGATCTGCAGTCAAGATCACGGGATCGATCGCGACGGCTGCTCCGATGACTCGGGGATTCATTATGTCGAGAAGACCTACAAAAATAAGCACAGAGAGATAAAAGAACTGGGATAAATATAAAACCAAAAGGCTGTGAAAATGTAACAATAGACCGCGATGAGCCTACATGGAGGGCAATTTAAGCAAATTTACCTTGAATCGTGACGTGAACGTCGATGTGGACTCCAACGCCGATGATCACCATGGGAGGATGGATGAACAGATCGAGAACCACTGAAAAACCTATGGTTACGCATAATTGCGACATACCGTCGCTTTGGTGAGGCAGGATTTTGTCTTCTCTGCGCAGATTCAGCCTCTTTACGGCAATCGCCTAAAAGAGCCTCAAGGTTCCGCATCATATTAGCCGCATCCGTATCAGGACCATCCAATTTACAACCTGCAACTTCTTCAGACTGTGGAAATACACCAGGACTACTAGCCTCAGGGTCACCGTCACGAAGTCTACGGTCCTTAAAACAAAAATAGTGAACGAGTTTAAGCCTTGGAAACATACCATCTGCTCCGCTGACTCATCCGGAAGACAAAGAGCAGGAACTAACTTCTTCCTGGTCACAGCATCAGCTTTCACAGAATCCTCAACAGCGGTTCTCTCTTGCTTAGATGGCTCATCTCGAGGTTTATTCGAAGCTTTCTTCAATGACTTTGGAAGCATTTTTTGCACTAATCGAAGAATACTAGCAATCAGAGCATCCTAATGCATTACAAACAAGTAATTCATACTGAAAACTCCGCATCATGCTTAGCAAGTGCTCCCTTAAAGCTATCGAATGTATTATTCTTCTTGGCCAAATGAATAACAAACTCAGCTGAAACCAAGATAAATAAAACAAGATACGAACCCAAAGCCTTGTCTTCTAGCCCTAAATGATTGTTCAATTCAGTGCATACCTTCGAAACAAGGGAATAATACTCAAGCTTGCGGAAAGCCTTATCATCAACCTCGCCGCTCATTCTTAAGCTATCGACAACTCCAAATCGCTCGCTTTGAGCGATGGATAGCTAAAACGACATTCTTGCAAGTTGCACAACGTTATGTGTCAAACAAGTCTTCAGATAAAATTCCAGGCAACAATCAAATAAATCGAACATTTATTTTCATTTATAACTTATTTAATGTTTGTTTATTCATAGTATGTGTGCACTCATCACAGTTTCTAGTGATGCAGAAAGTTCGATTTAATCAACAAGATGACTACAAACTAGAGATTGCGAAACTTAAGTGCAGCGTTTTTTGGTTTTTCTTATAAGAACTTAGGGCTGGGATTTCACTGAGCATCCCTAAGTCTTTGAGCACCGCGTTCAAGTTGAATTTTCGCTTCCTTCCTACAAGGCACAATTTAAACAGCTAATGAATGTAACATAAAGATGAGTGACAAACAAACCATATAGAAGTTGCTTACTTAAGGCTTATTCGTTATGACGGTAATCTGCAGTGGCAGGACTGATTAGATAGCTTAGAACCTAAGCGTCCGTACTGGTGTTAAGGAGGATGGATTTGATTTCCGTCTTTACTTATTCTGTAGCTCTCCAAGACTTCTCATAAGGTAGATGAGGGTGCAAAGTTGGGCTGATTACATGTGTTCTTGGAGAAAAAAAAGGGGAAGAAGAGATTGGGCTTTGGCTTGGTCCAGAAGGCAGCCCACATGCACAAGAGCAAGACGATCACCTGTTCCACATGTTCAGTCATATGTAAGATGTCTCAACAAATTATCCTCGACGTCTTTACAACTGGATACATTTTGTACTGCATGTAATTTGTGTTACCACCCTGTCACTCTGTGAATGTCTCGTCTCTCATCTATAATTGGACTGCTTTTAGGCTTCCGCATTGTGACTATGGACAAAGTTTTATTATCTATAAATTGCGCCTATGTACTTTGCATATTTAAAGCAAAAAGGTGTACACCAGTCCTTTATAACCTATTGGTGTTTTTGTTAGAAAGGGGCACGTTTTGCTGTCGCATCGACGAAGCCATTCATTCTGGCCTGGAGGACGCGCATTATGTTCAAACTGGTGAATGTGTTCTTGTCACAAATGAGACGTTGAATGACGTACAGTATTGTCCTTATTAAATGAACAAGTCTCTACTATTTGGTTGTAATTTGTTCTCTTATGCGTATTTATATCGTCTAATATTTGACCCTAAATTGTTGTACCATCCATCAATAATGTTCTGAAGCCTGCATCCATTGTGAGGGTGCTGACGTGTTTGTAAGTAGTCCCATGAAACCTTTTTTGGGGTTTTGTAAAATGCGATCCTACGCAATCTTTCTTTCAGTATGGGTTCAACTGACTTTTGCTTCCAGAGGTGCAAAATTACGAGATCGTTGCTCATTAAAATTATGTGACTATGATCAGTTTTGTCGTGCTACTTCAGCTGGTCTGGGTCAAAACCCCTGACCTTCTCTCCCTCTAGAAGCCATATTTGTATAACGGGACACTTCGAAACCATAGACTACATACACAGACAAGACCCCAATCTCTCGTTAGTACCATCGCGCAACGCCGAATGCTTTCACTTGTTTCCTGATTGTCGTCACATTGCAGTCTATGGTTCCTGCGAGCTTTAATTTTATTGACATGTTCATTCAAGTCTATAACCCTCATGGCAGAATTTTTAGCTCATTAATCAACTGCACTTCCTAGGCTCGCCCGGTCCGCCTTTGGCTACTGGCGGGAATGCATTTGACGCCACGTAAATGATTCACTTTGTTTACTGAAATTTATTGAGTAAAATAAGAATTTGGATCCACTTTTATGAGATCTAAAGGGTTTTAAGCACAAATTATCCAATCTCTTTGGGGTGAGTTCATGAATTGGAAGTGTCTCTTAGGTATAATCATAGCTGTCACCTATTTTTATGCGACTTGAGCCGAATTAAAACATATTTTTTGGTAGGATTACTAATCTGCTTCTGGAATGAGGTTGATGAAGAGACCTTTGAATATCGTTCAGGTGGTATCGCATGAGATGGCTGTGAATTACAAGAAACAGTTCACAAGACCGTGTGCCTTTCTCCACACGGTCGTAGCGATTAAACCCAACCTTGCATAACCAAACCTCAACATACCTTTCTCATAGTTCCTCTTTTACTGAGTCCTAATCTTTCCGGAGTATCATAATGGTCAGAGGTGTATTTGAGTTTCTTAGCCCCAGTTATGCATGACCAGAATGAACTTCACAGAGGAAACCTGTTCGCTAGGTAGACGTGAAACTTCCTCTTCTCGTCTGCACGGCATGCATTGTGGGCTTGGGCATTGACCCGAAAGCCTCGCTGTTGGCCATGTTGAACCATACGTCCTCTGTTCTCAGCGTCCAGCAAAACCCATGCATCAACTCCGCCAGGCTGGGCTTCTGCATTAAAGCGGATTAGGCTCTCCTTTGGGGTCCTTTTGGATGCTTCTCGTCTTTCTTATTTCTGTTTCTCGTATAATTTGACCTGTGTGGTTGATAGTTTGTAGTCCTGTTGTCGAACAATACCGCAATGCATCGCGCAGTCACTTACTTTCACTTTCCAGCTCTGCGGTGTCATTCACTTCAGTTTATCAAAAAACAAAATTTACTGTTATCGGTTTGATGTGTCCTCTTTTTCTGGGAGAGTTAAAATCCTCTTTTCTCTTTCAGACTAATCCAGCCTTATCACGCTTTGAGGTAACTTGGTGTATATGCTTGAAGAAGTGATTTTTCACGGTTCCTTTTTAGTTCGACTATCGCCAAATCGCTGACTGCTGGTAATTGTTATTTGAATATGAGATGGATTATCCCAAGCCTAAAGTTGTGGCACTGACAATTCATTTAGTTCACAAGATTTAAAACAATTTTGCGTTATCACTAACATCTGAAGCCAAGTTGCTTTGATAGCAGCGATTCATCAATGCTTATATAATCATCTGCTTAATAAAAATTACTAGAAAAATTGATTCGAATGAAGGCGGTGTTTCAAAATCATTTCGGAGTGGAAAAGCTCCCTTCCAATTTGTCGATGCAGTCGCCTAATTCTTTTTGTGTATGTCGTCCCGATTGAAACCCACATATTAGTGACATTTCTCCGGAGTTCCGCTCCAAAAGCGGGACTTCAGCGGAGACAACGAACCAAGATCCTCGCACTTCCGGGGAACACGTGATCGATGCTATCGGCTCAAACCCCGACTTTCCAAGTTGGACGCCGTTGTCGCATTATTAAGTGCCATCGCATTGGCGTGGATCGTAATGAAGGTGAAGAAAACGTTGACGGCAATTGTGCCTCCCACCACCCACTGTATATGCTTTTGACAGCAGAAACATTGCCTCGCATCCGCGCAAAAAGCATTTCTTTGTTGGTCGACATCGTTTTCTGCCGACCACCTCTCGTTTTGTCTGATTTGACCTAATCTTCAGCAAAGGACTCACTGAAATACCCATTTCCTAAATGATACTTGTGGCAGTAAAACTTATTAAAGTCTTTGGTTTACTTCATTCAAGCATTTTGTTATTCTGACTATTCTACACTTCAGCATCTTAATTTCTAATCATTTACGCAGTTGAGAGTCTCCCATCGCCGAGGTCTACTGTCTATAGTTCCTATCAACTTTTTCTTTTCGGAAAAATTCCCTAGTAGTAACGTTCCTCCTCAGACCACACTTCTGCTGTAGCCCAAATGGGTGGTCTACCTTTCGTAGTGTTTTTATTTAAAGGTTTATGGCAGGTGGGATCTGAATTGCTTTGCAAATGCACTTCAAAGAAGTCTGTCTAGATGTTAAGCTCCTTCCAACAAGTGCTATCTAGTAAGGTTTTCTTCTGCTCTTGCAGATGGCGTCTACTCAAAAGTAGAGCACATTGTTGTGCACTGTTCTTTTTATGTAAAGCTTCACTGGGAGCACCTGCGTCTGGAATTGCAGTAGTAGTGAGGAGCATCACTGCTCCTCTTTTGCTCGACAGAACTTCTCAACTGCATTGCGATGAATATTATCGCACAGGTATATGCCGATGTAAGGAGGCAAGACTGTAATACTGTGTGAGAAGTGTTAAATCAGTTTAGCTAGGAAGTGAAATTTTCATTATTTTGCTGCCAAATTGTAAGGTTGTGATTGTGTGGGTGGACGTTATACGTTGGGCGTTTTAATAGGACTTGGCGGTAAGTGGAAAAAAACTCATCGCAGCGATAAAAAGTGATGCAGAATCGGACATTATTTGGTTTGACTTTGTTATTCAGGATCTTGTAGTGGCTAGTAGCACTATCCTCTTTGATTACAAATTTTGATTGTGTAAACGGATGCTCCGACAGAGGGAAGTTACTTGTTTGCAGTTGTTTCTGCTGTTAATTGATGATCGTAGCTTAGTGAATGTCATTGTCAAATGCTCATCACAAATTTCTTTTTTTGGCGAGAAGTGTTTCCTCTCAATCATTGTGTTTTCACTTTTCGTTGTCTACAATGTCAGTCACATAATTGCGACCCATTATCACCTGATAGAGGTTCCCATTAGGGATTCCAGATTGTTTAAACCCTAACTTAAGTTCTTTAGGTGTGTTTGTGTGTGCGAAAGTGATTTTTTCCCCAAGCGTACAAGGATGGGCAAGCAACATTTTACTCCGCATCTGCGATAATTTGACGTCTAATAGGCCGATACCAATTCTGATGTTACAGATATTTGAATCGGTTGGGTGCCATTTGAGCTGTCTTCTTTTAAACAGCTTACAGTGGTGAGGATTTATTTAAGGAAATGTAACAAGCTTCGATGTAGTCAAAATGTGCCCGCAGTGAGATTGTGGGAGAGTGCTGTGAAGTCGAGTGCGTTGCTGTTGAAATTACACTGGTTGGCACCAGGCCCCAGTGCGGTAACTCCTCATCCTGTTTTTTTAGGAGCAATTCACAGCTAATTACCGTTTAGAAAACACAAAACTCGAAGAACTGTCAATCCTTCTCTTAATTATGATAAAATGTTTTTGTAGGGTGCAAATGTGGTGCGGGATGCGCTCGGCTGTTAAACTGGTAAAAAAATACGATGAAGTTGCAGTTTCGACTACATTTTGTGCAACAGCATCTGACACTTCAATCGCAGACGCATTTGAGGGCAAACTCTCGGGTTGTTCGCACTTGATGCTTTTACTCCTTTAGCGAAAAACTCGGCAACAGAAGTGAGACTTATTTAAAGTTAACTGGGTTGCAACTTGCCACCTAACCACTTTATCATAATTTTCGAAAGTTTATTTTGCAGACTAAACTAGTAAGAGAGTGACTAAAAAGTGTGGCAAAAAAACGTGCTGGGGTTAATTGCCTAAACTGTGGCAGTAAATTTTATGCTATCGTAAGTTTCAGATTACGCTTGTTGGCTGATTGAGATGAATGTAGTTTCAAATATATGGTTTTGGCGGATCCCTTAAGTGCTACGCTTGTTGCATTTCACGCATAACTATGGACAATGCAAATGCAGCTGCATTAAATTTATGCAAAGTTAGTCTCTTGAGAAGGCAAGAGGGGCGCTGCTCCCTCTCACTCGCCCATCAGCGCTGCGTCGTTTTAATTGCCGTGATTTCTGGCACTGCGCTATTGTTTTAAAGGTTCAAAAAGCCTGTTTTTTAACAGTTAAGTGGGTTATATTAATTTTTGTCTCGGGATTTCCAACTTTGAAGTATCTCAGATAGAAGGAGGGAAGAGGAGTGAATACGGTGATGGTATCCACCACTCCGTAAGCATATTTTACCCAATAATCTGGTTCGGTTGTAAACCGTCACCGTCGCAAGATCCTTTGATGCCGCGCGTCACAAAATGGAACCGTGACAACGAGACTCATTTCGCTGTCCTTGAAGCCGAATAAATCTTAGTCGAAGTTCGTCACGGAATAACCAAACTGTTTCAAAATCAACTACAATAAAGCGTCATAGCAGCATGGTGGGAAGTGGAAAGTGGATCACTGAGCATCGCGTTAAGACCGGCTGCAAGGCTTTCGTCTTACCCTCTACGTAGTTACCTGGACGTGAATCTTCCGCAGGGAAGTAAGCTTACTATTTCACGTTTGGAACAGATGTGATGAGTTGCAGCATCATACTCAAAATGTCAACGTCTGACAAATGGAGTGCGTGGAGGGAAGGGTAAAGCAAATAGTGTAAAAGCATTGCTTTTAGTTTGTCTTCCTTTTTGGGCGGATGCATGTTAAGTAATTTATGTTGTTTCTTTAGCTGAAATGGATCCGACTCTGCAGTGGTAATTGGAGGCCTTAGCCGAAGTGTGGGCTCACCCGAAGGCCATGGATATTCAGGATGAAACAATCTTAGTCTCCATCATCATAACCGATAGGATCATAGACGGCGAGTCTTACCTCACACAACGCTTTATCTTTAGCAAAATGCATCCGCAGTAGTGAATAACTTGGTTCTTCATAAGTAAGTAGTAGAAAGTGGGAATTCTTAGTTGCGCCAACAGAGTGGTATCCATTTTTAAATTCATCTTAAGGCAGAAATTATTAAACCTCTACCACGGTAATGGAAGGATTTGATTTAGCAAGTCTCGTGCATGGCGTCTAAACACATTAAGGGAGGCTAATGATTGACCTCGTCAGAGAAGCCCTTCGGCAAAATGAAGACAACAAGTCGTAAAAGAAACCATGTATCAGTGGCCTCCATATGTCTAAAAAATTATACTTAAAAGGAAAATTCCTACGCTTTCCTGTGTAAAATAGCGTTGGTAAAAAAATATGCGTCTTTACTTATGCCTGAGCTAACTCATTGGAAGACCTTCAAAAGTAAAGTATAATCTTTCAGCTTAAAGGTGAATTAGCTGACGTTTCCCGCATGATCTGCATCAGATTCCCTATGACACTACAATTCAACATGTGTTATTTCACAGCCTTCCATAACTACCTCTGCAATACTTCGGTTTGGAAGTAACAATCACGGTATTCTTTTGAATGGCAATGCATTATTTTTACCAATTTTAAAGGATTTTGGAGTGCTTATCGAATATGATTGGCTGTTGTTCGTAATTTGGGGTGGTGTTGTCATCAGAGGAGGTATTTCAAGTGGGTGCATATCACCGATGGAGCAGTGGGGACGACTTGTGTGCATGCGACACCTTACGGCACATGTGCCTGCAGTTTCTTTTGCGCCCTCCCAACCACCACCGGTGCCATTCTCAAGGAAGTAAATTAAAGTTATGGTGCCTTTATTTGGAGTGATGCTAATAAGTATTTGCGTAGGCATTTCACCGATATCGAGGAAAAGCATTAATTTGGGACGTCATCACAAGACAGTGAAGGTTCTTCTGTTGTGCATTTCGGGAGTTATTTGTGGTGGCTTGAAATCGGGTCCGCTGATGAGGTCAACCAGAATGATGGGCGCCTCATATTCATTATCATCAGCTCGCAGCTGCAAGTCAAAATTTTATCGAGTCGTAAATGACAAAAAATGACAACTAAAAGGATAAAATATTGCAGGTTCAAACTTCAATTCCATGTTTATAATAGGAGGGTAATGGAACTATTTTATGTTTGATGGGTAATGCCAATATTAACTGGTATGATTTTACGCAAGGCTTTTTACCATTTCTCTCGCAATCTCAACAAATACAGTCCTTCTACACGTGTGAACAAAGTCGGGTTCGGCGTCCCCCGGGCAGTCAACGCGGCCACACACGTGCCCAATGGAGTGGTCTTTCAGCGGCCTTGTTTCGCGACTCACTTTGTCTAACGCATCAGTTAATAAAATAACTGTCTGCTTTTATGTCTTTTCTTGTCATCTACTAGTGGAGAAGTGCAACTCTTAAAAAACTAGTGCCTTTTAGAAGATTAAACCGTTTTGTGGAGTCAAGATGCCAAACTCCAATTTTTGACGAGCACACCCACACCTCTGCTAGGCTGATCCTCACTTGTCATAGTCCCGTTAAGTGGTTCACTGGTGCAGAAATTACAGCTGCACCACAACCCGTAGTTCACATTGCCGTACTCTAGAATCAAAAGTGTACGACATACCTGCAAGTAATACTCGAAGGAGAACTCGGCCGTAATTATAGTTGGTGTTGAAGGGCTATCAAATCTGAAATCTTTCACCTCCCAGTGCTTCCTCCATTCATTGGACAGACTGTTTCGATTGCTGTTGTTGTTGAAGTCTCGTAAAACTTCTGACCTTGATCCAATCCTTTCCTCAAGTTCAGTCCATGATATAATCTCTGTCTCCTCCCTTAAATTTGCAGCACGACAGTTAACTCTGGTGATCAATCTCGCCTCCACCTTTTTCACTTTGTCCGTCCTCTCCCCCAACACTGCTCTGATCGTGTCATCACGAGTAACGTACTTTTTTGGAGCCTGTTTAGTAATAAAACAAACTCACTTACAAGCCAGAAAATAAAACGAAGTTTCCTCACATAAACTGCTTATTGTTTGTAAATTGTTAGCCGCATTTCGGAGGTAAGTTCCTACATCAAGGTGGAGGCGTTGTTAGAATGACAAGCAAAGAGTCAAAGCTGTGCTTTATAAAAGGACCTCTTTCACCTCAAAATAGGTGCCTCCTATTGCGTACTCCTCCTTTGGGTGTCCTAATCAGTTGTACACTTCGTTAGCTTTTTAACAGTGTGTACCATAAAGGTGTTTTAGCTGGTCCTCCACTGAAGAAGGGTCATGGCATAGAAAGCGAAGATTTACTCAAATCACTCATGGCTATTTTATGTCATTGTTTTGTTGTTGAACGCATAAAGTTGTATGGTTTTGACGGAAGGAGAATTTGATGACGGAATCACGTAAACATCTTGCTTCTATGCCAAAAGCTTACGGATGGCTCAAAAGTATGTCACACAAGTAATAAAGCACTGCAAAGAGTAGCGCATGCCTAGCGGAGTTGATTTGAGAAAGTAATGAAAGTGTGTCCACCATTTTTGCTCCTCATGTAAAGCAAATAACCACAATGCCTATATTACACACTGAAAGGTAGACGTCGTGAGACCGAGCTATGCTTACAGCCATTTCTAAGTTCTTGTCAACAAGGTGCACGCCGTTGTCCGTCGACCCGATCGCCGGTATCCAGACTGGAATGGTGCCCGTTTTGTAGAGCCCGCCATTCAGAACAATGTGTGCACGTAGTGATGTGCTTGGAACGAAGCAGAAATAAACGTTGTCAAATGGTGGTATCAGGTGAGCCTTGTTTAGTGTTTTTTTGTAAGTGAGTGATAAGCAAAGGTTGACAGACCCTTCATCAAGTCTGCAGTGTTGCCCTTTTCCCACACACTACCCACGGCGACACCACCGGCCTGCCTTACTGATGGTGGGTGCGCTTGCACGTAGTGACTCAGTTGGGTAGAGCACGTTCATTGAGGCAAACGCAACCAGCACTTTTGGTAAATCGCTACAGCTTCTACATATTTCTATTGATGAGAAGAAATTAAACCTTTTGCTGAACCACCTCCTTTCCGGTTGCATTCTGCCTAAAACTATTAATTTTGTCGTTCTTAAGTACTGAAAGCGTAAACAACTGTTCCACTATAAATGATGAGGATGCATCGCAAGTGTGTCACAAACAATTGTATAACGTTAGAATTTATTGTTAAAATGTCAACAAATATTCTTGTTATAACCAAATTCTTTCAAAAAACACCTCAAACCGCCATCCATGACATTAATGCTTACGAGGAATGCGCATCTCTGACTTACCTATGAACGACAGAGGTGCCAGCTCTGGGATTGACATAAGTAAAAGATGGAAATTCCGATTCAGGGACATAGAGTTCCAAGGGGATGGCGTACTTTCCTGCGCTGAATTGCAGCGGCCGACTGACTGGATCCAGAGTTGTGACTCTTTTCGGTACATATGGATTTTGTGCGTTATTGCCGTAAGTGGTTCGATAGTAGTTGTCGTTGTAGTAGCCGTTTTGATAGCTGTTGTTCTGACTGCGGTCATAAGAACGACTTGCAACTAGCGGTAGGTGGATCATTGGGTCTGTTCCTCTGTCGTTCTTCATGGGTACAAAGAAATGAGCACGTGCGTGCACTCAATTATTCCCTTAGCCCAGTAAGGCAGAACAATCAACTGACACGCAACTCTTCTTTAAAATCTTTGCAAAACAATTGCAGAACGTACAATACCTAATTTAAAATAGACTAAAAACGCATTCCGAAGAACAAAATAAAAGCAATTCGCGAGGATTGAGGTTGAACTAGAGGCAGAAATGGTAAAACATCTTGTGCACAGGCCCTTCAATCTCCTTTCATATGATGAGGCTAACAAAAACGGTGATAGGATCTGTAGGATAGCTCTTAGGCAGGCTGTCTTCCAAGGGACAACAGAAATCACAGATTGGCTTTTAACAGCTACAAAAACTGTGCGGCAATAAAGAAGAATTTTGAAGGTGAAATCATTGCTTAATCACTTACTACTTTAACATTCTCGTTGGGATATGTGACAATCAGAACTCTGGCGAAGAGTAGAGTAATCCTTTCGACACGTGTGTATGCAACGAGGGACAAATAAATCCGGCCTCTGAGTCTACGGGATGGCGGTACTTCTTTCGCTTCCAACTCGAGACGAATTAGGTCAGCTGGAGCTGATTGTGCATAATCTGAATCAACCAACATACGAGGAGTAATTGCAACCTCTTTATAAACGTCTCATCAAACACTCTTAGAAAGATGCATGAGCTCATTTGGTCACCGAAACCTACTTCACCTTCTAGTTAACAGCATGCAAAAACACATTACTATTGTTTGAATTATTTACAAAACGGTGGTGGACGTTCTTTGGATGCGCGTGAAAACGATGCTTTACATGACAAGGAGCTCGGTTTGGATGGGAAGTGGCCTGTGAAAGTGAGGATGCTAGTCGGTGCGATACGATGGGGTCACCTAAGTTCACGTCTTGTCCTAGGGATGTGATTTAACAACTGCTAGAAATGGTACCTGCTATAGGAACAGTGCGAATGAATCAATTTGCAGCATAATCTTAATTTCTTTTATAAAAGTAAAAATGTGAAGAAAGTGGAATCAAATATGTTGGAGTAATGTAATGGAAACGGACCATATGCTGAATTGTAGGCCATGGACAAGAAAAGTGGAAATGCTTCAAAAGGCTTTTGTGGCAGTTGCACCAGATCCCTTAAAATCAACCAATAAGTGGAACTTCACGCGATCGACTGAAAGTCGGTTTGATCGTCAGCTCTAAAATTAATGGATACTTTAGTGGTGTCAGTCATTCCTTTTCAAGGCCAAAGTAATTCATGGTAAGAATTACCGACCCTGATTACTCACTCCTAATGTGTTAGAATCACCCCACTTTTCCACGCACCTACAATTGATGGCATCCCCTCAAGTAGTCGTCTCAACACCCATTTCAAAACCAAGTGACCTCATGACCATGGCAGGTCTAATAATGGTAGCACTTAATTTAGCTGCCACAACTTCCCCTTGTGCCCGAGTCAAGTTCTAGTGGAAAGCACGAATACCACATCCCGCATATCCCCGTAGCCGTGATGAGGCGTAAAAAAGTGAGAGCGCAACTCATCATTTTACGTGGAAAAGAAGGGACGAAGTTGCGTTTAATGACGGTATCAGGCAACTAAAGCCACTGACAAACTGCCATTGAGTTAATGCGTTGAATGTCTTCACACGTTTATGTTGCTGAGGGGACACGTGCGCTACCTCATTGCATTCTGACCGAAAGCCGATAAGCTCAGTCCAAGGACGGCTGGGTGAATGAGTTATTTGGCTTTTATTTTTCACACAGTAGATGACAAGCGCGATGGTGTGAGGTGAGAAAAAAATGAGGATTACGTAAACACAAAACACCTTCATCGTTCCGTGCACGCTTACAGTGACCGGATGAGAAGTGATTCGAAAAAAAAACGAACCGTGCTTAAAAAGGTTTCTTCCTGCAGCATACTCATGTGACACTGCGAAGTAATCATTTAAACCTGGAGCTAATTAGTCCATGGGAAATATTGCCGAAGCTTTACACAAATGTGGATACTGCCAACTGATTGGATAGGGTTGAGCCATGGGAGCAAAAATGAACGGTTGTAGTTGAAGAAGAATATTTTCCTTTTCTCTTCCCATGATTTCAAATGAACTGAAGCAATACTCAGTTTTTGATTGTAAGAATGGGACGTCAAGACTGTGATGACCGACATGCTGTTGAAAATGGTAATGACAGCTTACACGCGAGGCCTTTGGCGGTGATAACAATTTCCTGGTAAATATTTTTATGCCTACTTGAAGAAACTCAATAGGAATGTGTAGCATGTCTTAAGACACCCTTCAACTTTAACGCCGAGATGACTAACTTGAATTTGCTGAAATGTAACTGCAGTGTTCGTTTGAGGCATTATGCTTGATTTTGGGCGAAATCGCACTCGCCATTTCGCCTGCCGTCCAACCAGCATCACGGCATCGCTGCATGTACCGCGACCTGCAATCGGCCGAGTGCGCGATAAAGTCCCAAAATGAATAGAGATTTTTTAATTTAGTAAATAAGTGAGTGAATGTGTAACACAAGTGAATGGGTGAAAAGTCGACAATCATAATTGAATAAAGTGACTGAGCTTAGGAATGGTTGACTAAATATTCCACTAGAAATGCATAAGGCGGCTAAAAGTGGTGCGTGCGTTTGATCGCTTAATAAAATGGTTAAGAGAATGAATGAAATAATCCAAAATAAATGACCCAGTGAACATACATCTGTACATGTGTGGATTAAATTACCTAAGAATTTGAGCCTTGAATGGAATGCATTGAAGAAGAAGGAAACAAGGAACGCTTGAATGAACGAATGCATGGGTGAATGAAGGAGTGACTTAGCCAACGAAGTGAGGGACGGCAATAGAGCGAAAGAGCGCATAAGTAGCAGTGTCTGAGTTCGTTCAAGTCGAAGGGAGATGAATTGTCGCTATAGGTAAGGGAAGGCGCGATACTTCGGAAGAATGTATGCATATGTATTCAATAAAAAGGAAGAGGGTTTGGGCAACTGGCGAGGCTCGGAGGTCAGTCTCCGCGGGGAAGGCAATATGGTCGCTTTAGTGACTGCAACCGATAGCGGTAGCAGAGAGACATGCATGGCGCCGCGATACCTCTCTGAAGTTAGGAGAAGACGAAATATGTGAACTGAATACGTGTTCGGCGAACGGAAGGCTAAGCCAAGGAGCTGATGGAGTGACTCAGAGGCCATCCCACTCGGCTAAGGCGAAGTGGCCAATCCAGGGTCGGCCACCAAAGCTGAGAGGCAAAGGCATCGCGGCACATTTGGAGCGTCGAGAATTTAACCAATTATTCCCTGAGTTGACCATTTTTCGACATTTACTTCGGTGAAAAATCTTTTACATGACTTGTCGTTAATTGTGAAAAGAATTAGTTTCACCTCCATACTCATACGTTCAATTCTCATTGACCATGCAATCACAGTTTATTTTGTGGCACTTATTAAAGCTCATCCTCTTTTATTGTATTGCCTTCACTTCCTCCGTTGCAACATCTGTGCGAGCACGATTTTGCAATGGGCGATCACGCGATCTGGGTCATCCCACGGGACAGCATTCATATCTGGTCTTTCAGTGCTGCCCTCCTACATGGGCACAAGCTTCGTGTGCATCGCGTTGGCATTCGGAACGCAACAATAGCCATCTCTTCTCCGCTCTTGTTTGTTATTACGCGTCAGTGGATACGTGAATCGTTTTTGAAGTGAATGTTAAATTCACGTACAGGCACCTTTTAACTTGCCCAATTTTGATATTAAGGGTTCGGACACCTTCCGATAAAAGGACCCTCTGGGATACGCTAACAATGCAAATTTTTCAGTTGATTTACAGGTTGTCGGCAGACCATCAGACTTATTCATCTGCACATTTGGATTGCAAGTCAAATTGCACTTTCATCACATACTTAGTGTGGCGTCGGTCACACTTTCTTCAAGCAGAAAGCATACTGTCTCACGGTGTTGTAGGCATTGCATAAGCAGGGTCAGATTACACTATTTTTGCCTTTTACTTTATGGAATAAATGCCAAATCAAAATGATTTTGGGTTGTGCAATTTGAACTTTCGGATTCGTTGCCTTCGAAATCCAATGACTTTTGCAGACGAAAGCAGATTTTGCAGATTTTGAATGCGTGTTTTGGGATTTTTCACTCCCAGTTAAGTTCCAAAATGACTTGACCTGTGCTGTGCATGGCTGGTATGAATGTTTGTCTCTTTGCTTTTATTGCACAAACATCGCGTGACTAGGTGGTGTTTGCGTGGAAAGCTTTTGACTACCTCCAGATATTTAAAACCCACTCTATTCAAAGATGTCTCCGCCTCAAGCAACTTTTATGGCTTTAAGAAGCCAGTTGAGGCAGCGACACTAATTTTGGCTAATACTTCTCCACGCTTGGCTACCTTTGCAGGCCCTGGAAGTTGGGACTGAAGGACGCATACATAGGAACGACTTCTGTTTGCCTTTGATCAACCATAAAGGAAGCTGGAGACATTCGTATGTCTAAGGTCGGGAACAGTTTTGGGGGTTTAAGTTCTACATAACTTAGCTTTCCTTCGACCATATTTAGGTGGACAAACGAGAGCATTCAGTGGTGGTACGTTTAACTAGGCGCGGCATTTTTCACTAATCCGTGACTTTTGCAAGTTTGCCATCACAGATACTCGAGAAGAAATAACATTTTTGAAGTCTTAGTGAAACGACCTAATTCTGCTAATCTGATGTAACTTGAGGGGTGTTTGAGTTTATGCTTTCGAAGACGAGGCAATTCCTGTTAAATCAGAATCAGAAGTTTATGATGGCAGACTGCTAATTAGGTGTAACAAGATAGTTTATGCCTAGCCGTTCAAGAAAAAATAACATTGTTGATTAAGTCATTACTAGTGGTTCCTTAGACGGCCGCAGACAACTCCAAACCATCTGATAGATGGTTGCCGCACCCAACGTGCACCAGCAAGTCAGCGTTTTTTTCCACAAAGATCAAAGCAAAACAATATGCCGATTTGATTACTAAAGTGATGCACATGGAACCAACAATCACCCCCTTAACAATGGGAAACCGATGTAGTTAAGCTCCAAAATGCACAACTACTCGTCTAATACTTGACTCTGCTTGCTGGTCAAAGTTATCCTTCTTGGCTTTAAATGGACTTTATGGGCCAAATATGATGCAGGTGCGTGCTATTCTGGAATAACGTGAAGCATCCCAAGTCCCATCAGCCAATCCATTTATTTAATCGGGGTGTAGGGCGGAATTTGCCCTCCAATGTGTGTATTACTTACAGCATCGCAAGTGAAAGATCAACCTGCCCAACCGGCTTGCTGCCTTTCTTAGTTAAAATAATTAGTGAGTTTAATATGAAATTGCGGGCACTCTTTCGTACTTTAATAGTAAGTCAAAGCATGCAAAACACCTTCAGTGATCATTGGATTAAAGGGTTAGAAGTAACTGATGATGAACATCTTTTAGCATTTGTATACCGGTAAATAAGCCAAGGCATGCGCATGAAGTGGCGTGGAGCACTAAATCGGAGTGATGTAGCATTTTTTAACTTAAGATGCCATGAAACCCGAGACCTGACGCAACGAATGTGGCTCTCACCCAACAACGCGGATGTCTCCAAAACATGAAAATGGAACCGTCTTGCGCTTTGATTGAAGGATGCTGTCAATCACACCAAAGTACGATCAAGGCAATGAGACTAACATGTTCCCTCATTTCTGTAACTGCAGGCTGGAGGACAAAGCCAATGTTGCAGTTTGCCTTAAGTCGTTTTTCTACGCTATTTCAAGCTCTTACGGCAGTGTCTGGGCGAGGATCGAGCAAACGCACGATAATGTGTACGCTTTCGCGCCTTTCAACGCGTGATCGACGGACCAAATTATGCCATTGCGTTGATGAGCGGTAAGTTTTTAATTATCATATATTCGCGTTCACTATGGTACAATTTAGTACGTAGGTCAATCCGTCACAATCGTCCATGCTCAGTGGTATGCAAAATAGCGGAAACAGGAGTATTTTGCTTGCTATAATTGCACGCCAACAGCGTAGGCCTATCACAGCATGGTAAACACCGTCTTCTGCACACTCCTCTCATGTTCACTCCTTTTAATCTCATTTTACTATCCTGGTATCAGCATATTTGATATCACATCCCTCTGCAGTCTTGCTTCTTTCATCCAAAATCCACAAATTTACTATAGCACTGCAACAACCCACCAAATGTAGCAACATATTTAAGAAATTCGCCATATTTGAAGAAGTAGTCACATTGTACCTTCAAATTTACCAAAGGCTACAACAACTGACACATGGATATTTTAAGCTTTCTCTTGGCCTGTGCCTTTTGATTTGTAACAGCAACTTGGCAGGGGAAACATCCTTCTAAGGATACGATTGCATGTAGTGAGGTTTACCCAAGGAATTAGTTAGCTAGCCCTATCACAAACTCATGGAGAAGCTTTTTCAATCCGGTCTTTTGGACAAAAGTACGCTTTTCTGTGTCATCCACCCTCCTCGAGTTCTTTCAAAATTGATTACGCACAAGCATGAATTAATCTGCTGAGCGAAAGTTGAACAAACATTATGCGCGCATTAAACTCCAAGTTAGTCAAATTTGACCAGAGACGATGGAAAGGGGTAAATACTGCACATCATTCTTGTTTAGACTCATTAAGGACTTGCTTTTGTCTATTACCATTGGTCTGATTGATCGGAAGCGGGCACTGTGTCAACACACGAGGGTAGCTTCTGGAAACTGTAGAACGCTTTAAAGCGAAGAAATGGGTGTAATGTGATTAATATGACCCACGGCTTCTTAGCACTTCAAGCTCCAAATGTGGCACTCTTGGCTTTCAAATTTATTTGAGTTCGCTGCCACTGATTCCTTTGGTGGTTGGGGAGACTGTGGTCACCACAAGAACAAAAATGCATTTCTTCATCGACTTCCTAGTGGGCCGTTGGCATTCATTTTCATAGGTGGATCTTCTTTGTGCTCAGATATGTATGCTGAACACATTGCGTTTCTTTCATGTCATCTCAAAAATGAACAGAGATTCAACAGAGACCCACAAAACCGTTGCCCATTCAAACTTTGCACCACAAAACACATTGTGACTTCCTAAGCATTTATGTTGCACCTAGCAATGGGCAACTTAAAGCAGCCGAAGGGTCCATGGAAATTTGGTTTCTGTATAGCTAAGAAAACACAGAGTCACGATGAAAAGCACAACTACGGGAAAGGGAACCGTTTGCATCGCATGTTTGGACGCCATTGATGAGCCGATGTTTTCTAACCTATGTTTTGTGTAACAGGCAAAATAAATTACAAAGAAGTGCCAAACCAGTTCAGTTGATTAATGATTGTCTCTTAAAGTAACTCAAAGTGTTCAAATAAGCCAAACGAAAAGGATTTGCCCTCAACACCCTGTGTTTTCCCTTTGACTACTTAATTAGGTGTGATATCATAACGTTGTCTAAATAGTCCCTCATTCCGCGTCGATGCATAGGCGAAGGCGAAGGCCAACCTCTACCTTGCATTAGCTTAATCGACTTGACTAATCCTGTTCAACGGCAGTCAAAAATGATACGCCACCTGATGCCTTTATCGTTTTCACACTGCCAGTTTGAAAAACGATTTGCGATAGGCTACCGCCCTCAGTTAAAGGCAAATTATGAGGCAAACTACTGTTACTGAATCCGAAATGAATAGCTGCCAATCAGAAGCTTATCACACCTAAGAACTAGTTCAAGTAGTGCTAAATGCATTCGGGATTCCATCTGTTGTGAATATGAGTCGGCTTGGCGTAATTGGAATTCACCATCATTGGCAAGGCCTAAAGAAAGCGAAAAAGATGCATAACACTTTTCATGGTTTGAAAACCACAACTTTATTCCAATAGCGAGGTATCTGTCGCAAAACTACGTTCACTGCATGCGAGAAGTTTGACCTTTCCAAGCACGGGTAGTACCCCTACAAGACTGGACCCCATAGGTAGCTGTGGCGAGTGTATTCCTCACCATGAATCTCATTTGGGACGACAACACACAATAATGTCACTCAGCCGTATAAACCCCACCTCCTCCCGAAAGTTGGCAACACGCACTACTCACTCGATTTTGTATCTCTTTGCAGACAGCAACAAGGAATAAGGCGATCCCGCAGGCACATAGTTGAGCATCAGAAGCCATACCAGAGATAACCCACTAATATACACCAAAGTGCCAGATGTTTGAGCAAAAGAAATCATTTATGAATATAACAAGTAACATTTTTACATACAGGAAACATGTTTCACTTATGTACAAGGAGAATAAACAGTGCAAAATAAACGCTTTCGTGATTCCCACAGTTTCATTGGTTTCCATTTGAAGATTCGACTGAAGGTGATGTAGAAGAACTGGTGTTTTCGTCATCGACTTCGGGACTGCTTTGAGCTGCTTCGTTGTCTTGAAGAGTATCCGAGATATCCCTAGCAACGGGGCGAGATGAACCAGAGTAGTTATAAGCAATGGCGCTAGCGTACTTCTTCGTCCACAGCTTTGCAGTTCTATCATGCTCCGAGCGATTGTTGACGTACTGACTAGCGATAGAGCCCACAAGAGGGTCAGCTGGATTGCAATCCGTGAGAAGAGAACAGATAGAGAGTAGCAACTTGCTTATTGTTAGCGCAGGTGACCAATTATCCTGTAAACCAATAGCGGTGTACTCAAATTTCATAATTGGCTTAATGGAGAACAATGAAGATAAAATCCCCATCAGAAAGCCGTATAGTAAATTATGAAATTCTGCAAAATGACTGCATGGTTATAAAAACTTGATTGAGTTTGGAAACAGTCAACTAATGACAGTAATGAAGAGAGTAGTAACGTCTCTGACTAGTCAAAACTGAACCCAACGCAAAGCGAATTCGTAATTGCAAAATCCACTGGCATTCGAAAGTAAAACGCCCTAAAACTGTACCACGAGGTTACAATCAATGCAACAAAATCAAAGCACAAATGCTACTCAATAAAGTAAACTTAATGTAGACAGTAGGACGTCAATGGAAAATAACGCCTGCCTACCTTCAGAATGTCCAGGCAAATAACTCCGTGACTGTTGATATTGCAATGATAAATGCGAGTTTTGAAGGTTACCTATGAAAACTATAAGGTAAAAGAAATTCACCGTACCTTTGGTGGTTTAAATGGGTAATCTAATGGAAAATGAATGTCCAAATAGAAAATACCACCCTCATAGACAGAACCAGGGGGACCAAGAATAGTGGAAATCCATTCGTAAAGATTGTCGCCACGAGGAAAAGCACTATTGGAATAATTTTTGACAAAAATGAAGCTTACGAGCAGTTTGGAGGAGGATCGTTACTTATTTCAGACAACTCCTTCTGAATCCTAAAACCGAAAGAGATGGAATTAGGTTGCCATTAAACAAGTAAATGAATCGTATTCTGATTGGGAGGTCTAACAGCCCTAATTTTGGATTAGAACGTAGAAGAAAGTAAAACAACTTACGAAAACTTGTACTCCAATACTAGCCAAATCATAAACAGCGCTTAACGATGACTGTAATAACAGATTCAAATCCAGAAATAAACAGCAATGTGAACGTAAACTAAAGCTTGCAACATTCATGACCATGAAATTACTGAGAGATAGAGCTTTAATGTGTACAAAATATGCCACAAAGGTTTGAAGCAGTTACAATCCATAGGGCACCAATACTGGCACATGAATTCACCTCTTCAAACTAGTATTCATCGACTTATTCTTTAAAACAGCGGCTACGGAAGATTTGTGGGAAACCTCACTGTTCGAAGAAGAGCTATCTGTAACATCCCCACCGAACGCTTGACTGTGAGATCGCTTAGCAGAAGGCCGAGCGTTTTGTTGCCGAGACATTACGCAGCGCAACCCCCAGGGAAGCGAGTCAAAGACAAACGCCGAAGGCACAGGGCTAAACCACAACTTTAATTTCTAGCCCATTTAAACAACAAAAGGTTTAAAGGATGCAGGTTTTTATTTGTTTATAGGCCTTAAATAAACCTAAGGCTTCTGTGTAAATTTAATAACGTATATTCATAGACACGCTAACGAGTGACATATTATATACAGCTTAAAAACAAGAAAGAAGGAGCACCAAGTTATAAATTTTGTGATAACGTTACATCAAACCATAAACAAAATTGAAAGATAGGTGTAGCCTTTCTAGCATTTCAGTACCTTCCACTAGCAAGGAGGTGGATGTACGCATTTTCCGATGGAAGGGAGAAACTTGGCTATGGATATATAATACCGTAGTCCCTCGAGACCCTCAAAGAGTAGAAGAAGGTAGTAAGTGGGGTCTTATACACGCACTCTGTGGAGGGCAAAGGAACTAAGCCTGAACTCGGACTAAAGGCCAGTCCACGAGTACGAGAGCCGGACGAATCCTAAAGTAACCACCAGACGTCAGGTGATCACACCTTAAACTACTACGCCACCCCTGCCTTCTCTTTAGCGACGTCCTCAACGCTCCCCTTGGTACATTTCCTGTGCCAGCCATCACAACACATTTAATACCGCAAGGAAGCATCCTCGAGATAGCCGCGCAAATCAACAGCTACAATGAGACTAGAGAGCGACACTTGGCTTCCTCAGCAGCTTCAAATAGATAGGGCGTTACGTTCAGTCTGACAACCCGAATAAGGACTGCATACATCTGTCGACAGTCAATCGCTTTCCGGACCAGATGGTGGAACTCTGGTCGAAAACAGATGTTTTGCGAGGAAAGCAGGATCAGACACAGAGCCGCAGTGTCATTTCCAACACCCATACACGGATGTATTATGGAGAATACCGACACGAAACTTTTTCAGATGATTCGCGGCGGAGTTGCTTCAGTTGTTGATTACTTGTCTGTGGAACACGGGGACGAGGGGAAGCCGAACGCAGACATCATTCTCAACCCTTTTGTGGTGAAGAAATCAGAGATTATCCCATTACCGATGTAAATACGACTCTACACCCCAGGTACATACAACAAACGGTACACGGTAGATGTCGGATTCGCGTTCTACCATCACAAGTGTAGCGCCCCAAGACTTCCCACTCAGTAAAAGAAGGTAGTATGTGAAGTTTAATACATGTATTCAATGGAGAAAAAAATAATTATACCAGCCAACTTGTACAAGGCGTAGACGAACATTAAAGTAACCGCCAGCATCAGATGGTCACATAGACAAGATAACATGAACAATTCGTACATAACCAAAGTAACCTTCACCCTTGTATGTCGTAAGTTTGAAGCCTTGTTTTTCATTGAGTCCGGTCTCAAACTCTTAAATATGGATGCAATTTATACTGCATCTATAAGTCCATGTTGACTAAATCTTCCTCCAAGTCTTTTCCTTCTAAGAAATCTGTGACTAAGGGCGAGGAGCACGGGACAGAATGTACTAAAACGGTGTCCAAGACACCTCACCAGGTAGACGAAGGCAATAAGCTGCATTCTGAAAGGCATATGGGGACTTGCTCTGTGGCTTAGCCCGAAAACAAGACGAATAAAGAAGTAAACGTCCGATACATGTAATGTCCTGTTTAAGTGAGCAAATGATGTCCGACGGTTACTTTAAAATTCGCCTAGTCTTTCTACGTTAAATGCAAACGAAAAACTTTACCATAATGTTTAAATGACTCTCACAGTTCGAAGGCACAAAAGAATCCGTTCTAGAACCGTGTCCGAGAAGTCTACCC